CCGAAGCCCATGGGTACGACGCGATCATGGTCATCGTTGACACCCTCGGAAAGCGTGCCCACTTCTCGGAGTGTCATACGACGGTCGATGCAGTAGGGGCAGCCCGCCTCTACTACCAGAATGTCTGGCGGCACCATGGGACTCCGGAGAAGTACGTCTCCGACCGTGGCTCACAGTTCATCGCGGACTTCACCCGAGAACTTTGGCGTCTAATCGGCATCAAGCCAGCCACGTCCACCGCGTATCATCCACAGACGGACGGTCAGACAGAGCGCGTCAACCAGGAGTTGGGGAGCAATACCTGCGGATCTTCACCAACTATCAGCAGGACGACTGGGATGAGTTGATTCCGGCCGCGGAGTTCGCTTACAACAACCATGTTCACTCCTCCACGCAGCAAGTCCCCTTCATGACGGACACGGGACGGCTTCCGCGCATGGGCTTCGAACCCGGAGTCCGTTCCGCTATGGAGTCTGTGAATGAGTTCCGCGACCGGATCGCCACTGGTGTTGCTGAAGCCAAGGCCGCGCTCACTAAGGCCAAAGAGGAGTACAAGTGCTACTACGACCGGAGACGCACTCCGTCTCCGGAGTTTAAGGTTGGCGACCGTGTTTGGCTAGATGCCTCTGACATCAGGACGACTCGCCCCTCGGAAAAGTTCTCCCATCGCCGCCTCGGACCGTTCAAGATAGTCGCGGAGATCAGCAAAGGTGCCTACAAGCTCGACCTTCCTCCGCGCTACTCGAAGCTCCACCCGGTCTTCCCCGTCGTCAAGCTCGAGCTCGCCCAGGACGACCCCTTCGATGGACGCCCCGGCTACGACCAGCCCCCTCCGGACCTCGAGGACGGAGTCCCGGAGTGGGAAGTAGAGGAAATCTTGGACGCAAGGGTGAGGTATAAACGGCTGAATTACTTCGTCAGATGGAAAGGCTACGACGCGTCGCACGACCAGTGGGTCCGCTTCGACCGCGTCTTCGCCCCGGAGAAAATCGCGGAGTTCTACCGTAAGTACCCTGGCAAACCACGGCACATCGCCTCTGCGACCTTCGACTCGATTCCGTTCCGGTCTATGCGTCGGGACGCCGCATTCAAAGGGGGGGTGATGTCAGGGGAACCTCCCTTTCGGCCCCTCGGAGACGCCTCCGATTCCGGTCCGACTCCCAGCTGATATAGCTACTTCTATGCAAAAGATGTGGGCCACTGCCCATGGGTGTAATGCAAAAGATGTGGGCAACAGCTCTAAAGTCACAAATGTCATAAGTATTTCCATGATAATTAATTATTTTAGGGCTTTCTAGCACCTTCTAGGTGATAGGATCAATGCCTTTTATATAATGTTTTTGATGTGGAACCATTTTTGATGAAGATCAATTGATTTGCTTATTAGGCTCTGTTCCATCAATGTGACATGTGATTACATCAATTCCCTTGCCCTGTATTATAAACTGTTCCAAATTATATACCGAATCATTGGCCTGAAGAAATAGTGACTTCTATTACCATATATAGCATTAGCTTAGTCATAGCTATCAATTTGGCTCTTTAATCTAGTATTTATATTACAGGCTTGTGACCTGTAGGCAATTGCCCACATCTTTTGCATTAGACTGGTGGGCAGTGGCCCACATCTTTTGCAAAAGACTGGGTATACAGGGTGCGACTCCGGTTCTGTCTCCGGTCCGGCCCTCCATCTCGCCCGCACAATCACCGATCTGTCAACGCCCTCCCGACAGTTGCCCTGGGACCTCACCTGCGATGCCGCCCAAGCCTTCTGTGCCCGACAGCAGCAGCTATGGACAAGCAGTATATAGTCAGCTACCTAGCAGACGGACCCTCAGAGTTTCTTCTCTTTGGATCCTCCCCTGCTAGGTCAGCTTCATTTGTATTCACTTACCAATATTCATGCTTTGGATCCTCCCCTGCTAGGACCTTGATCTCAGGCCTCCGGGTTGCCCTATACTTATATCCAACCTCTACACTGACCATCAATATCAGTATCAATAATTAATAATATAATTATTATCTTATTATCTAGCTTATCTCCTTCTTGTTTCATTTTATTAACTAGGGTTTGAAGAGTGAAGAATCATGTTTCTTTAGCCTGAGGTTCAATAGTACCAGGCTATCAAAAGGCCTAGAAATATGCTGTTATAGACTAGATATCTATACAACTTGATAATCAATTGAGAGTTGAGAGATAATTAATAAGAGAGTAATAATATCTATTATATACCTGTTAATACACTGCCTATGTTATATAAATAATATCCTATCCTATTATAGGTTTTTTTAGTATGCTCATAACTCTATTTTAGTGAGTCAATATATTATGTATCTAGTATAACCTTATGTAAAGTTTAACAACTGTAAAACTTCTCTGGCTGGAAATTTAATGTTAAGTTGATAAAGTTATATTCTAAAAGGCTATGCTGTATTCTTCAGGTGATAGATAGATAGATAGATATTAATTAACAAGCTTATAGAGTAGCTATTTAAGGTTTCTCATATAGGATTCAGCTATAATGTCATAATGATGATGCTTAGATCATAGACTGATCACCATAGTGATATGTTATTAAACTCTTGATGTCTAATTATCTCGGCACTGGCTGCTTTGTTTACTATAACTCTTGTATGGTTAAAAAGCTACGATGAAGACGGATTATCTGAAGACTATTTCAACCCTTCTTAGCTCAGTTGGTAGAGCGCGTCACTAGTAAGATTTTCTCTTATGACGAGGTCAGTCGTTCAAGTCGGCTAGGAGGCATAGCTTTTACTGTTTCAATCTTCTCATTGCTTTGAAACTAGTCTTCTAGACTTGTCACTTGTGAAAGAGAGGCCAGCCTATAGTAGTGATGTCTGTTCTCTGTTCTGATCATAATCAAGTAACATACGTCTATATTTAGACAACTTTATTTTTTATCTTTTTCTTATATTGTATAAGGATTTTTATCAGGCTCAGTATTGGTGTGCTGACTATACTAACATATGGTATATCTCAGATATTATATCTTGTCTATAGTATCTTAGTATAGTAGGTAGGTCATTGGTTATAAGCCTTATACTATACTATTTTACTTGATTCGAATGGTAAAAATGCTGTGATATTATATACAAAAATTGTAAAATTACCCTTTTGGGATGTGTCAGGGGAACCTCCCTTTCGGCCCGGAGACGCGCCCGATTCCGGTCCGACTCCGGTTCCGACTCCGGTCCGGCCCTCCATCTCGCCCGCACAATCACCGATCCGTCAACGCCCTCCCGACGGTCGCCCTGGGACCTCGCCTGCGACGCCGCCCAAGCCTTCTGTGCCCGACAGCGGCAGCTACGGACAAGCAGTATATAGTCAGCTACCTAGCAGGCGGACCCTCAGAGTTTCTTCTCTTTGGATCCTCCCCTGCTAGGTCAGCTTCATTCGTATTCGCTTACCAATGTTCACGCTTTGGATCCTCCCCTGCTAGGACCTTGATCTCAGGCCCCCGGGGTTGCCCTTACAGGATGAGAAAATAGCAAACCCAGTGTGACATGCGAAATTCTTTTATATAATATGGTGTGTGTGACAGGTGACATTTGAAATGAGTAAAATACTACAGTATCACATTTAATTTATTCTATATAAAGTAACATAATCTAGTCACAAGTTTAGATTACTCTATTGCAAGCTATACCAATTTAGAGTACTACTTAGCTAAGCAAGAAGCACTATATATAAAAAACATATTATAATACTGTGGAATTTCTCAAACTAAGATAGATATCATATGTTTATCATATATAAAATACTTGCTGTCTACCTTATATTTGGGTCTCCAAACCTTATATGTTGTTGATTTCTTCTTATATGGAATATGACAGTGCAATAACATTCTTTTATATATTATTCTTTTAAAGGTAATTAGATAATCTTTATTCTCTTTTCACTAGGGGCACAACTTCTAGTACACACCTGCCATAGCTGCCATCCCATACCTACAGTATTTCTGCAAATTTGTAGGTCTCTTTATTCTATAACAAAGAAACTCTTTCAATTCAGGTCAACAGTAAGCCTCGCTGTAGACATAAGGCAGATATAATGCTACCCATATGGTGCATTCACATATTCTGGTATACTGTGTGCTATGCCCTAGTGTCTTCTTGTCCCTGGCTCTCTCTGTCTAAAGGGTGCTCTCAGTCTCTCAAGAAGGCTCCAGTGCCCCAGTTTTATCCTAAAGTGAGGTTCGGTATTTATTACAACATGACTTAGACTTAAGTATATAGTCTTATATAACTGTGTCTTAGTTGCATACCCTGGGCCCTTACTGGCACAGTACCAGTGATCTAAGAGAACAGGCTGGGTATATTATCCATGACATCTTAGGATCTGGTATACAATATAGCACAGGCATACTACTTGAAACAATAATCACTCTTTGCATAGTACACGGTATATAGTTGGCTTGCTAGTAGAAAGACCCTAAAGTTTCTTCTAGACTCTGATTCTAGGCTATCAGGGTTATTCTTATACCAATAATATAATAATAATGTTGTGAGTCTGGTGTTGTGAATAGAGACTTTATGATATGGTTCTCCTAAAAGAGTGACAATTAATTAATTAAAATATATATAAAAATTATAGTATATTTTGAAGAGTATCAATTTCAAATCTCACATGTATATATATGGATATCATAATTTGTATACCTTCCTCATAGAGCAATTCTAGAAACTGAAAAGTTAAATATTGTATTTTGCCTACCTGTTGCCAGCTCTACTGACATAATACTACTCAACAATGGCACAATAATCTTCAGTTTATATAATATTTTTATGTAATTCCCCTGGACCTTTGTAGAGTGTCTCATCTCAACTATAGAAGATTACAGACATCAGATCTGTTAGATTCTCACTATGTAATATAACTCATCAACATAGATAAGAGCAGACTAGAATATTGGTAACAGTGGTCAACAATACCCAAGTAGTCTACTACTTGTTCTACTTGATCAATCTTACACAGTACTTCAAACTTTTATTCCAGTTCTCTCCGAGTCCTGATCACGCTCCTTCATGGCCGCCTCGATAGTTGCGACCGGTCCCTTGAACCAGTGGACACCACCCACAACTGGCGCATAGTACCACAACAATGATAGGATCATCACCCCACCAAGCACGACAATGCTGTAGTTCATGTCCTGCACGTCCGTCTGCGGTGTTGTAGGAAATAGAAAGACTGTTGATGAAGATAAGAATTTTGGCTTAGGTAAGAGTGCAAGCAGACAAACCTATCCCCAAGAAGAGCATGAACAGAACAGCAATAGCTGCAACAGGTAGACTCTACGATAAAGAATATGAGCTTTCAAATAACAAACAGCACCAAAACATACAAAGATGCCCAGCGAAAAGGGCCCAGGTTTGAACTGGTTGTGCTTTCGCCCTGCAAAACGTGCGACAATGGGTATGGCATAGGCGACATACAATGCGATGACAGATATGGCGAACACTGCATTGATCGCTTGGGGGCCAGCGAATACGAGGATGCCCACGAGGATGGAGAAGAATGCATCGAAGAGGACGGTGTTGACAGGGGTGCCGGTGAATTCGTTCATACGATATAGCCAACCAGAGAAGGGAAGAGCTGAAATTGGTCAATAACTTGAGCTGAAATAGAGAGAGAAATTGAACTAACCACCATCTCTGCTGAATGCATATGTCTAGGACACATTTAATTCCGATGCATATTGACAGCACAACGAGGGACCCACTTGTCGGCTCGCCGCAAGTAACATTGAAGAGCTTCGGAAGATTTAGTGAGTTCATTTGGGTGAACTGCAGTTAGGATATTACCCCATCATGTATCTGCCTATTATTGAAACGAGCGGAGCGACGAGAATAAGTAGACGCACTGCACGATTACCACGACAGCCCACAGTGCCAAAGTTGCTCGCTTCTGCTTGAGATTAGAGACGGTTTCAATACGAAAAAGGGAATATATGCACCCCAAAACTATTGAAAAAGATGGTGGCCATTGGCTGGGGGCTGTCATAAAGTGCCGCCAGGTCTGTACCCATGCAAAAAGCAAGGGAAATATTGATCGCTTTAAGAGGTCGGAAACATGCTCATCAGGAAACAGATGAACTAACCCCATCCTAAAAGACCCGCGATTCCGATAGCCCAGACAATTGCCCATGGTACAGCGGTTGCTGCATTAGATGCCTCCTCGCTGATCTACAAATATCAACAAGGATTTCATGGAGATCGTGCAAAGAGCTGACATGAACCGAGGAATCAAACGAACAGATTGTCCAAAGAGGAGCGAGAAAACTGAGGATGAACGTATAACTCTGCGGCCAGCCGTTCACTACAAATCTCAGTCGGCTATAATGGATGAAATGAAACGTACAATTGCTCAAACCACCCAATGCAAAAGAAGCCGTATTTTTGAACTCGGCAGGTGTGGCCGCAGGAAGCGCAACAATGACGACGATGCATAGAACGACGTTGAGTATGACATAGACAGTCTGTAACCGCGCGAGAACCGTTGTTCCAAGACAACAGACCATCTAAAGAAGTGTTCTAAGACAAACCCGAGCTCGAGATAAGATACGCACTGCGTGTGATGCAACGATAGCGACATAGACCCCACTTTTGCCCTTAGCGACCTGCTACGAGCAGACTAAAAACATACTATGTTTGAGCGGAAGTGGCTGAGAAGTTCCCATCTGAACCGATGGACGCTGCAGCCATAACTTGGACGGCGGCAGCCCAATCAATCGACGCGACAGAGGTAATGGAACCAACGGTATTGGCATCTGAGAGTAGTCAATAACGCGAACAGGAGGTAACAAAAGGAAGCTCACACCCCACAATCCAGCAGAGCAGATTCCGCCATCGAGGAGACGACAAAGAGTAGGTCCAGAAGTATAGCTGCCAGGTTATAAGCTGAGCCAACGCCAAAGGAAGAAGCCACACATACCCCACCAGAGGTTGGCGCGGCAGACGCGAGTTCTGCCATAGCCATCCCCACAAACAGGATGAATATGCTTGCAACAGCCCACTATGCCCATGATAAGTCCCGTGGCCCCCTTGTCCTCAACACTCACTCCCCAGACCATAGAAGCGCCACCCCCGGGAAGCGAGTAGAACAGAACGGACGCGATAGACGGCAGCAAACCAATAATCGAAAATGCGATACCAAACACCTGCGTCATGTAAATTTTCAGCCTAACAGAATGATTTGAGGTTACCTCTAAGGGTGTGAAGGCGCGTTTGAATTCCTGCTTGTACCCCAACGATGCAAGCAGTTCTTCGTCCGCGATACGGATAGTTTCTCGTCGAGACATGGCAGTCGCGAGTTAGGGCGTTTAGGCGGGTGCTCAAAGCGTTATCATGGAGCAAGCGTGGGGATTTGACCGCCGTACACGGAGTACTGATAGGGAAGACACGACATGGGAGCGTCAGTTGGTGGTGGTGGAAAGAAAACTCGAAAATAGATTGTTGATCGCTCGTTGTGATCTGAATCATGTGTTGCATCAGCGGGGAATGGCGCTACGCTCCCAATACTAAATAGGACAGTCAAAGACCAGCCGTTCAATGCACTCGGAAATTTGGCATTCCTATAGGAATTTGCAAGCACTTAAATAAAAGGCTCAGGGTCTGAAAAGATACATTTCTAATTTCCCTTGTCCACTCCCATATCAACGAAGAGTCACTAGTTCTGTTGTAACGATAAGTCGCAGATTGACAATCCTTCAAAGGAGTGCTTACCCTCAGCCGACGTGGGATGAATAGCCACAGTGTCATCCAGATCTTGCTTACGAGCTGGGGCTCCGTCAGATGTGAACGGTTAAAAACTGCAAGCAAGTTCACCATTCATCTTGACCGCAACAGCAAATCCTTGCATCATCTCGTCGCTGCCCGCTCCGATGATGTGGATTCCAACAACCCGCTCCTCCGGCCCGACACAAATGAGCTTGAACATTGACGGCTCCTTGTGCTCTTCCTCAATCATAGAGAAGTACAGCGAGCGGAACGAGGTCTTGTCTGGATGGAGTTAGCAACTAGATATTTCACTAAACCACACTCACAAATCTTTACCGAGTCCCCGTATTTCTCGCGCGCTTGTGGCTCGGTGAGTCCAACAGTGCCGATGGTTGGGTGGCTAAAAGGATGAATCAAACCATGGTGACAAGATAAGGACTAGACACCAACGAGAACACGACGGTGGGGATGTTGTCGTAGCTTAGTTTATCGTTCTTGAACTCAGGAGGACCGAATAGTCGGTTGGACAGTCGTCGTCCAGCAGCAATCGCCACAGGCGTCAAGAGTGCTTTCCCTTGAACATCGCCAATGGCGGTTATGCCTGGAACATTGGTGTTTTGGAACTCGTCGACGATGATATCGCCTTTGGAGTCGAGCTTGACGCCAATCTCTTCCAGCCCCATATCAGCAGTCAAAGCCTTGCGCCCAATGGCCCACACCAACGCGTCGACCTCGATGCTTTCGCCTTTGTCGGTGGTGACAGTGAGGGTCTTGCCCTTCTCGCCCGTCACACGAACAACCTTGCTAGATTTGTGGACATTGACGCCGGTATGCTCCATCCATGGGGTAAGAGTTTGTTGGAGGGCTGGGTCAAACGTCCGCAGAACGGTTTCTCCACGAATTATAATGTGCGTTTCTGAGCCAAGCCCATTGAAAACACCAGCAAGCTCGACCGCGATATAGCCGGCTCCGACGACAGCAACGCGTTTAGGTTGGTTTTCGAGGGCGAAGAAGCCGTCACTGTCTATTCCGAGAGAAGCCCCGGGAATTTCTTCGTCAGAAGGAATCGTCGGATGGCCGCCAGTGGCGATACAGATGTTGTCTGTGTTGAGCGTATACTTCTGGCCATCTGGCCGCGTTACTTCAACCGATTTAGCGGAGGTGAGACGACCATAACCATGGTGGTGCTCGACACCCTCCTTCTCGAAATTGCTCGCGTAGATACCGTTCAGTCGTCGGATGTAGGCGTCCCGCTGGGGCTTGAATGTTGCCCAGTCAAATCTGGGAACGCTGCCTTCGCCTTTAAGATGATAGCCTTTTGCGTGGTTGTCGAATTTTTCCTGTAGGTCTGCAGCATGCCACATTATCTTCGAAATAAATCAACATGGTGTGTTTATACTGGCGGAGGTAAATGTCACCTTCTTGGGAACACATCCTAGACGCGTTCAGACGCGACACTAAACACGAAAAGGCCCTACATACCAACATTGACGCAAGTGCCGCCGAGAATACCGCTCATTTCGACCACCGCGACTTTCTTGCCGTACGAGGCAGCTCTTCTCTGATACACGGATGAGAACAAGGCAGTTGGAGGAGTGGTAGAAGCATACAGAGCATCCAGACCCTCCACTACCGCCTCCAATCAGAACGAGGTCGTACTTCTCAATGGTGGGTTTGTCGAAAATTGGCGGCATCGTTGCAAGATTTCGTGAGATCTGGTTCAGGTTTGCGTGGCGCCACAGCGATGGTGGGTAACGGACCAAAGAGAGCCGTGCGATGGCGGATCTGGGGCCCTGCAACGCCAGAACGAAAGCAACCCTTGGTTATAAGCAAAAGGGGGCGGGTGTGTCAGCTTGACTTTGTCACATGCTTTCTTTGGAAAGAAAGTCGGTCAGCGTCGGTGTTCATGGGGCAATTATGGCGTCTACATTGCGTAGAATCGGAGCTATCTATAAGTATCCAAGTCCCCGAGCTCGGTATCGAACTCACTGCGACTAAGTTGTCCTTTGCGCATTTTTTCGCCATTCGCTCCTCACGTGCCGAGAACGTCGAGGCTAGCAATGTCCACGTCCATATGGACATGGACATGGACATGGACATGGACCGGATCAAAATCCGATCAATGATGGAGTCCATGGACAAGTTTCGAGCGTGACGCGGACATGGGCTTGGACGTACTTTGGTGGTCGCTTTGGCGCAGCTGTGGACCACGCGATGGACGTGCCGATGGACAAGCATAGATTAGATTTACTATGAGTCATCACGCTGACATCAATCAATCCACGTGCCTCGGAGCTGCCGTCATCGCCCTTCGTTTACTCCTCCACTCGTGGCACCAACACTGTTACGCATAGCGACGAGCAGCGTCCATAGTAAGCTCTAATCCTCTCATTCTAAGCTCCCCCAACTAACTGCCATGTGTTCCAAGCAGCCGTTGAAGCCCAAGCATGGACCGAGCCCAAGCGCACCAGCAGCAAGCATATAAGGACGCATTGCCGTCGCCCCTCTCATCCCCACCATAAACCACCACTCTCCCGCCCTCCATGGCACCACCACCGGCCACTGTTGCTGTAGATGACCCCGAGATACGACAAACCAAGAACTGCAGCAGCTGTCATTCACCAATGGGACCTCTCCGTGTTCACCAGGGCACAAACACGCCCGGAAATAGAGGTTCTATCGCTCAAACGGTACGCTGTATAGCTATATCACTCTGTCCCTGGTTGCTCATTCTCCAACCAGTGCAAAAACTTGCAATGCAGCCATACCATCATTCACACTCCCCGTTATGTTATGGCGGATGCCGATGCGCTCATCTATCGGATTCACGCCCCGCGCAGCAGGTCAACTCATCCCGCCACAGTATAACCGCCCTCTTCGTCGCGCTCCAGTCATCCCAAAGCCGCCCGTGGTGAATAGGAGAATGGCCTGTAACAATCCAGAGTGCCGATCTCCAGGCTCGCAGACATGTATCGAATTCCTCTGCAAAAAATGCTGTCTCGCCGCCTCCAGTCACCCAATGACCTCCATCCGTGACCCTTGCGCCAACCACAAGACCCCAGCCATAATCGATACTCCAGCGGTGGTTCCTGCGGCGGTTCCTGCGGTAGTTCCAGCGCAATTGACTGTGCCAGCGAAACCCCCAGTTGCGGCAACTACAAATCGAAAGAATAAGAAGAAGACGGGTGGTGGTGCGCCCGTCTTTGAGCCAGTCAATATGCGCGACAATCTTGCGCAACCAATCGGCGAGTTATGGCGTGGTCCGGTGGCGTCGCAGGAGATGGCTACAACACAAAACGCGAAGGCCTTGAAGCTACAGTTGGAGGAAGCAGAGAAGACGAAGGTGCGAATCTCAATCTACTACAAGGCAGGCATTCTTTTCTCTATGTCGTTCCACACTTACTTATTGTTTCGACAGAAGCGAACACAGGCCCTGGCCTTCTGGCTGTCCATTCCCACATACCCACACGGTACCCTCTCGCAAATTCCAGGCCTCATCAATGATCTTGGGCTGAACGATGGTCGCCGCGTCGAAATCTGGGACTACAATGAGTCTGCCTGGACGTCGATGTCAGTCTCCGCCCGGCTTTGTGGTAGATCGCCTCCCGCCGCACAATAATTCGGCTTCCAGAGACTCTATTGGATGTTTGGACCGACGATGACTGCCCCGCTATCGAAGAGAATCGCGTTCCAGTCAATCCGCCTTTCAAGCGGGCTGCTCCATCTCCAGCAAATAGCCCAAGGTCCAAAGTGCCACGAATGGAAGCTGTCCACACCGACGCAGCCTCCGAGAGTCATGCGACGGTATCAGACAAAACAACGCCACATCTCGATACTCCGCCGGCGGCGAATCCACCTCCCGCACCCAGACCTCTGCCGGCAGCACCTGTCGATGAAGAGAGTCGACTCTATTCGTCATATTCTGCTCAGGAGTGGAATGACAAGTGGAATCGGGTACGGCAGTTGCGCCGACTCGGGCGATCCAGCATTCAAATACATCAACCAGGCATTTCAGCATGTCTTCGGTCGAAAACACCGTCGGCAAACACTCCGGCCCTACGAGAAGGGTTGGGAAAGTGCGCCAGACCAACTCAAGCAACAATATATCTCTCTCGGTGACATTCCTGAAGCCTCGCTTGGCCGGCTTCTCAAGGGACTCACGGTTTCGAGTTCTATCCTTGCTCCTACAGTTCGTACCCCAACTCCAATCATACCGAATCCCACCGTTCCACACCAACCTCCAGCGTCTCGCGCACAATCACTCGACATCGAGCAGTTAGACCTTGCTTTCGATTCCAGGGAAGCCTCGATCTTGAACAGCAACAGCAGACGAATGGTGGACTACTGGCCGAGTTGTTCGGGTCCTGTGGGGCCTGTGGTATTGCATTCTTCTTCAAACCATCCGACAAGCTTGAGCAGATGCTCTATGCGTTTGACTCGGAGCCTCGTCACCCGACGTTGCTTCAAGAGATCTGCCGTCAGCACCGGGCGGAGCATGATATATTCGAAAACATCCTCGGCGCGAGTTTCTGGCCACAGACCATTAACTATGCGGGATTTGTCCTGTGTCTCACAAGTGCCGAGAGTCTCGATATACTTGCTGATATCGCAGAAGACCCATCTGGCAGCGACTTCTACCACAGAGCAATGGAACGTCGTCATCTTGCCCCCCAGTCGATCTTCAAAGCGGTTTATGGCTAGTGAGTAGTACTTCTGTTTTTGCTAATTATGTCTGATTTACTTCATCTTTAGTTTCGGACCGTTGGGATACCATGTCATCCGCGACACTGTTCGGTCGGCCGCTGAAAAGTTTGCGCTGGCTCGAGGCAAACTGAAACAATCGGAGCTGATTGAGGAGGTCCTGGTTCCTGAGGCGCAGCTGCTGCTCATTCTACAGGATCTTGGCGAGCAGGTTAACGCGCATGAAATCCTTGAGCGCAGCAGCTCATTCGGCAATCTTTTCCATTCTGATCATTGGGACCGACAACGGGCAATCAATGCAGTACGAGCAGAGCCCAGTTCTCCAACATCGACACCAATGACGGAACATCTGATCCGTTTCGACTCTCTTCCCGACATCTCACTCCCACCTCCGGCACCCTTCCCATCGCTACAACCTCTCGATAATCTGGGTGCGCTGCTTGACCGAGTAGAGGCTGTCATCAAAGAGGAGCCTAATGACGAACTTGAGCCAGTTCCTTTGGCGCAGTTGTGCATGTTTTGTGACGAACCACTACCCGTAACGCCGTCATCCACTCTGGTTCAACGCGGCGAGCAGTTGAAGACAATCTCAGCCCCTTCTCCCTGTCCCGGCAACCCTTCGATCGACAACTTGCAAATATTACAGCAAGCGGGGACTACTGCGAGCGCCATAGGTTTGAGCTTCGCGATCTTCCTATTGGACGCAATAAAGGGTGGCCTGAGGAGCCTGATTTCGGTGGTCTCCAAGAGCGGCTGCTTGCCCTGCAAGGCACCTTACAGGAGGTCGTTAACTCTCCAGAGTTCAGTTACTTCTTCAAGCTGGCAAAGGAACGGGTGACGCATTGGAACGGCACCTCCCACCAGCTAGCATCTGTGCATGCTCAGATGCTCCATCCTAATCGGGCGAAGATTAGTACTGGATAGTACGTGTATTCTGGCTTTCGGAAATTCCCTGTTTTCTTACTTGATATACAGCTATGGCGAGGTCGGCACCACCATCTTCTTCCCTATCATCTCCTTGTTTTTCCCGAATCAACCCCATCTCCTGCATTGCAACCTCGGCCTCTCATATAATATCATTATCGATGAGGTTCTCATTCCGGAGGCCGTGTCTCGTATCATCCAGCAAGATCTCAACGTCAGCGATGTTCAAGCAAAGGTGACGATGGAAGCAAGCTATACCTTCGGTCGCATATTGCATCCCGACTCGGAGAATAAAGCGGTGGATGCGGTTATGCGGTATGTGACAGAGCAGCAGCAGTCCACTATATATCGCCTATGGCTTGCTTCGGGATCGACGCTCTACCTCCCTGCATGGGCGGCACGTGCCGCAACACTGGGTGCTCCGACAGTGATAAAGTCTGAGTCGGTGGAGATGACAGCTATACCGCGGGGAAGTTCTGACAGGAACGAGATTATAGACTTGACTCTGGACTCGGATGACGAAGAGTAGATTGTAATGACCTTTATGAAAGCGGCAATAAGAACAATTTGTAAATATGTTACAATAGTGCAGATCTAGGAATACTGTGGGGGTTGTGGCCACGCTGCCGGGAGAGCTCGACCATTGCCATATTTCGCCGCCGAATCATCTCATCTAGAAAGAAGTCGTACCTCTCTGCTGACATTTCCTGCACAATTGCCTGAAATCCGCCAAACCATGCATTCGTCTGCTCAGCGGCCGACGAGTTGAACCGCCAGCTCCCTTCCTTTGTGCGCAGCTGGGTGTATCGATATGGGTTGCAGTAACGACCACACTCAATGTCGGACTCTTTATGCTTGCACTTGAAGTGGAAAACGTCAACCGGGAGCGCACAGTTCTTGAAATAGTCGTCATCCTGGGAGCGGAGCATGGCAACGATTCGGCAATTGTTGTCGTGCCAGAGGACCTGCGGAAGGGACCGCTGCGTTGGGAACAGGCGTTTCCAGAACTTCTGTGCAGGTATATGAATACGTAGACAGGAAGCGGCGGATGTTATACCCGAACACCGTTGGGGGCTTCCGACCCATAGAACGTTGCACGCCCTACGATAACACCACAGGACATCACACATAGCTCCTCGTTGTGGGTACGACGCCGACCAAATCGGGCTTTTGGCTTCTGGTTCCCCACAGAGGGTTTGTCCGGACAGACACCATCCTCATCAATCTCGACATCCTCATCCTCGTCTGCACCTGTTCCTTCGATTCCATCGGCGATCATATCATCCCAGACCTTCTCGACGTCAAGCTGGAGATTGTATGGCCAGTCGGGAGGCAGAAAACGAGCTATAGCGTGGCCCTTGTTGCTTTCGTTATAAATTTTGGCGCAATTGGTGCCAGAGGTCCTAAAGCAGCCGATTAGGTACAGGCAGAGAAGTGAATATAAGAGAAACATACCATGCATTGACTTTCATGCTGGCAAACAGCTCTGCGACGTCCCGATGCATATAGAAGTGGCCGGATACTTGCATGAAGTCGATGGAGCTGCCGGGATAGTAGTGACGCCAGTTCTTGTCGACAAGGTAGTTGTGATAGTACCGTGTGTTACATTCTAGACGGTGTAATCAGTGCAAATAAACAAGATGATGTGGCCAGTACTCACGCGTACACTTGCGTGATGTTGCAAAGTCGGGAAGAGCGCCAAATTCCTTGGTAAAGACTGTGATTGGAACGCGGGAGGCCGAGGCTGATGACAAATCCCGAGAGCGGGATGCATTGGGGTCGGCATAAAGTCGTTTAGCGCAGGCCTCATCCTTGCAAGAACGGTGGGGTGAATCAAATGAATACAGTCCTTGTTCTGTGAGAAAAAAAAACCGACAGAGTGGGCACGAAACACACACCAATCTCCCTGGGGATACCATGGGTTAGGAAAACTGGCAGATACTTTGTTCGCAGTGCAAGCAGCTCGGTGTCGTCAAGCTCATATGCCCATGAACGCTCTCGGAGACTAGTCCATGCTTTCCGGCACTCGCTGTCGCTGAGGTCGAAAGCTGCCATGAAGAAGGTATGGTAGTTATCGGGAAGCGCCGCCAATGGTGTCATGATGTGTTCTGGTTGATACCAGCTCAGTGCTGGCTTGATCAGCCGTGCTAGCTCGATGAAGCGAACGATAGTTTCGTAGGGGAGTGAGTCGGACATGTATGGCAACAAAAGGAGGCAGAACGCGGCTCCATATATGCTCCCTCGGGCTCTAGCAGTCAGGTATTAGAGAAAAAAAAAAAAAGGTCAAAGCTCTATGACGCACAATAAGGCCACATGGCCATGTCGTGTTTGAGTGTGGCGGTGCGGAATAAAACAAGCGGTGCTCCAGGTACCGGGCCAAAGCACTACGGCAGGCCAAAACATGGACGACGAAGTAACGGCCGTTACCTAGTCGTGGACGCCCATGTAACGCACGTTACACTCTCTGATCGGGATCGGCGTGCATGATCCGACTGACCAAATCGGGACGTCCATGTCCAAGGTCCATGTCCATGGTCGCGTCCATGGACCTGGACAGGGCTAGTTTCGACGGTCTGCACGTGCCATATCTTTTTTTTTTCAGGTGCGCCTTCCGTCCGTCTAACCGACGACTAACCTATAGCTACGTGACCTGTTTGGCGAGGCGGCCAAACAACAACTCCCCTTTACCTTCAAGTGCTTTTAAATTGAAGTGTTTCGATGGTGCAAGCTTGTCCGCGACTCCGAATATTCGCCCTCGTCGCAGCGTTCCTACTTCTGGTGACGACAAGTAACTAAGACCATAAGCTTATATATATTCTGAGTTGTGATCAAAGAAAAACACAACAGGATCATAGCGCTCCAACACCCTCAGGGGAACGTGGCCCCCTCTTTCGACCATCTCCCGCCATCGGTTTCTACTCTTGCCTTCAGATAAGCGTTCAGCCCAGTACGTCTGCCGATACGTTTCTGCCATCGTAATAGCAGTTCGACGTGTAGTGGCCATCTTCGCAATAAGCTTCCACGTGATTGTGTTTTCATCATCCTGTGGACTTCTTGGAGGTATAGGCCACGACTCAAACCCATTATACCCGCCCGGCGCAAGCTGAAAGTAGCGCTTCCCGACCCGGAAGAGAATCATTTGGTAATCCTCGTGGGCCGTGTCCCAATACCGCTGAGGAATAACTCGACCAGGAAACCCAAAAGCACGGGTAAGAAGCCAAGCATGATCACAGGGCAATCCTTGCCATCGATAGACGTCTTCGTAATCAGACCAGTCTGCGGTATATGCAGGAGCGTTGTTCAATAAATCTCGAGCCCAGTGAGAAGTCAACTGCTCTAGCTCGAAACTGGCGGAGTCGGCAATGGGTGAAGGAAGGACGTCAAGTGCAACTGGCTTGGTCTAATTATGGTGTTAGCACGATAAAAACTGATTTGGTATTACACACATCGAGCATTTGCGATGACGGAATTGCACGTGTCCACAAATCATCCCGAGAGAGCCATAAATATTCACGCGAACGGTCATCCAAATCATAAAACGCAAGTTCTCCAAAGCAATTCCCGACGACAGTAGTCCCAAGCGCATCATCGAAGTGAATGCAAGGTACCGCCCAAAGCGCAGGACCATCTGGGTTTATTTCTTCCCAGGAGATGGGCTGGATCTTGTTGTGTGCTGGAGATAGAGTGGCGTAAACCATATATGGGTCCGTGTATTCGCATCTTGCACCACGAGAAATCGAGACCCACATGCACCGACGACCTGATTGGCCAACAGAAAGGCCAGACCAAGGAACATTGTGGTAGAGATAGTTGCAGGGGGTTGGGCCACGACAATGACACGACGGCGCTGGAGCAACCAGAGACAGGCTTGATTCGCGGAGGGGATCCAAGAGTTCGTTATTGATCGTTATAGTCTCGAGGCCTGAGCGAGTTATCAACACAAGTTGCGCGCTGGCACCAGCGGAGGCTGGAGCTTCAACGGCTTCCCATATCCTGTGAGTGGTGATATGTTTGACGAAGACGATGGGTTGGCTCAATGAGGAAGGCAAATGATAAATTTCGATCCCGATGGAACGGACAACGACCAGGTTTTCTCCCGCAATAGTCATCAAGTGGGGAACACTCTGAGATGGATTCAAAACGACACTGATTTCGGGAATACGACTTACACGATAATCCGGACCGTCCATGTCGGCTGGAGACTTGATGTCGTGAATGGTCCCATCCCTGCAGTTGACGAGATGGGGAACATTGACGCCATCGCGAACAGCGCAACCCAAGAGTGGTCCATGCAGCATTAGGACATGCGAAGAGTTTTCAATGTGCGCTAGCTGATAAAAGCTGTAGGCTTCCTCTGTTCTTCGCACTGTGACAACAAGCACACTGGGAACTCTGCATAATGTTGAGTCAAGCGCTAACAGCCCTGAGGGATACTCACTCTCCGTCAAGTCCCAAGGCGAGCACGATGCCCTCATCTGTTATTTCTATTTGAGCCGTATCGACACGCCCAGACAGACAAGTTTCTACGATGGGGTTGGTGTACCCCTCTTGCAGCCACCACAAATCCCAACAAGCAAGTTTGCTGACTTTTTGGTCTGAAAACGCAACAAAGACCCATCGTCCGTCCGAGAACGTCGAGGCTAGCAATGTCCACGTCCATATGGACATGGACATGGACATGGACATGGACCGGATCAAAATCCGATCAATGATGGAGTCCATGGACAAGTTTCGAGCGTGACGCGGACATGGGCTTGGACGTACTTTGGTGGTCGCTTTGGCGCAGCTGTGGACCACGCGATGGACGTGCCGATGGACAAGCATAGATTAGATTTACTATGAGTCATCACGCTGACATCAATCAATCCACGTGCCTCGGAGCTGCCGTCATCGCCCTTCGTTTACTCCTCCACTCGTGGCACCAACACTGTTACGCATAGCGACGAGCAGCGTCCATAGTAAGCTCTAATCCTCTCATTCTAAGCTCCCCCAACTAACTGCCATGTGTTCCAAGCAGCCGTTGAAGCCCAAGCATGGACCGAGCCCAAGCGCACCAGCAGCAAGCATAAAGGACGCATTGCCGTCGCCCCTCTCATCCCCACCATAAACCACCACTCTCCCGCCCTCCATGGCACCACCACCGGCCACTGTTGCTGTAGATGACCCCGAGATACGACAAACCAAGAACTGCAGCAGCTGTCATTCACCAATGGGACCTCTCCGTGTTCACCAGGGCACAAACACGCCCGGAAATAGAGGTTCTATCGCTCAAACGGTACGCTGTATAGCTATATCACTCTGTCCCTGGTTGCTCATTCTCCAACCAGTGCAAAAACTTGCAATGCAGCCATACCATCATTCACACTCCCCGTTATGTTATGGCGGATGCCGATGCGCTCATCTATCGGATTCACGCCCGCGCAGCAGGTCAACTCATCCCGCCACAGTATAACCGCCCTCTTCGTCGCGCTCCAGTCATCCCAAAGCCGCCCGTGGTGAATAGGAGAATGGCCTGTAACAATCCAGAGTGCCGATCTCCAGGCTCGCAGACATGTATCGAATTCCTCTGCAAAAAATGCTGTCTCGCCGCCTCCAGTCACCCAATGACCTCCATCCGTGACCTTTTGCCAACCACAAGACCCCAGCCATAATCGATACTCCAGCGTGGTTCCTGCGGCGGTTCCTGCGGTAGTTCCAGCGCAATTGACTGTGCCAGCGAAACCCCCAGTTGCGGCAACTACAAATCGAAAGAATAAGAAGAAGACGGGTGGTGGTGCGCCCGTCTTTGAGCCAGTCAATATGCGCGACAATCTTGCGCAACCAATCGGCGAGTTATGGCGTGGTCCGGTGGCGTCGCAGGAGATGGCTACAACACAAAACGCCGAAGGCCTTGAAGCTACAGTTGGAGGAAGCAGAGAAGACGAAGGTGCGAATCTCAATCTACTACAAGGCAGGCATTCTTTTCTCTATGTCGTTCCACACTTACTTATTGTTTCGACAGAAGCGAACACAGGCCCTGGCCTTCTGGCTGTCCATTCCCACATACCCACACGGTACCCTCTCGCAAATTCCAGGCCTCATCAATGATCTTGGGCTGAACGATGGTCGCCGCGTCGAAATCTGGGACTACAATGAGTCTGCCTGGACGTCGATGTCAGTCTCCGCCGGCTTTGTGGTAGATCGCTCCCGCCGCACAATAATTCGGCTTCCAGAGACTCTATTGGATGTTTGGACCGACGATGACTGCCCCGCTATCGAAGAGAATCGCGTTCCAGTCAATCCGCCTTTCAAGCGGGCTGCTCCATCTCCAGCAAATAGCCCAAGGTCCAAAGTGCCACGAATGGAAGCTGTCCACACCGACGCAGCCTCCGAGAGTCATGCGACGGTATCAGACAAAACAACGCCACATCTCGATACTCCGCCGGCGGCGAATCCACCTCCCCGCACCCAGACCTCTGCCGGCAGCACCTGTCGATGAAGAGAGTCGACTCTATTCGTCATATTCTGCTCAGGAGTGGAATGACAAGTGGAATCGGGTACGGCAGTTGCGCGACTCGGGCGATCCAGCATTCAAATACATCAACCAGGCATTTCAGCATGTCTTCGGTCGAAAACACCGTCGGCAAACACTCCGGCCCTACGAGAAGGGTTGGGAAAGTGCGCCAGACCAACTCAAGCAACAATATATCTCTCTCGGTGACATTCCTGAAGCCTCGCTTGGCCGGCTTCTCAAGGGACTCACGGTTTCGAGTTCTATCCTTGCTCCTACAGTTCGTACCCCAACTCCAATCATACCGAATCCCACCGTTCCACACCAACCTCCAGCGTCTCGCGCACAATCACTCGACATCGAGCAGTTAGACCTTGCTTTCGATTCCGCAGGAAGCCTCGATCTTGAACAGCAACAGCAGACGAATGGTGGACTACTGGCCGAGTTGTTCGGGTCCTGTGGGGCCTGTGGTATTGCATTCTTCTTCAAACCATCCGACAAGCTTGAGCAGATGCTCTATGCGTTTGACTCGGGAGCCTCGTCACCCGACGTTGCTTCAAGAGATCTGCCGTCAGCACCGGGCGGAGCATGATATATTCGAAAACATCCTCGGCGCGAGTTTCTGGCCACAGACCATTAACTATGCGGGATTTGTCCTGCGTCTCACAAGTGCCGAGAGTCTCGATATACTTGCTGATATCGCAGAAGACCCATCTGGCAGCGACTTCTACCACAGAGCAATGGAACGTCGTCATCTTGCCCCCCCAGTCGATCTTCAAAGCGGTTTATGGCTAGTGAGTAGTACTTCTGTTTTTGCTAATTATGTCTGATTTACTTCATCTTTAGTTTCGGACCGTTGGGATACCATGTCATCCGCGACACTGTTCGGTCGGCCGCTGAAAAGTTTGCGCTGGCTCGAGGCAAACTGAAACAATCGGAGCTGATTGAGGAGGTCCTGGTTCCTGAGGCGCAGCTGCTGCTCATTCTACAGGATCTTGGCGAGCAGGTTAACGCGCATGAAATCCTTGAGCGCAGCAGCTCATTCGGCAATCTTTTCCATTCTGATCATTGGGACCGACAACGGGCAATCAATGCAGTACGAGCAGAGCCCAGTTCTCCAACATCGACACCAATGACGGAACATCTGATCCGTTTCGACTCTCTTCCCGACATCTCACTCCCACCTCCGGCACCCTTCCCATCGCTACAACCTCTCGATAATCTGGGTGCGCTGCTTGACCGAGTAGAGGCTGTCATCAAAGAGGAGCCTAATGACGAACTTGAGCCAGTTCCTTTGGCGCAGTTGTGCATGTTTTGTGACGAACCACTACCCGTAACGCCGTCATCCACTCTGGTTCAACGCGGCGAGCAGTTGAAGACAATCTCAGCCCCTTCTCCCTGTCCCGGCAACCCTTCGCATCGACAACTTGCAAATATTACAGCAAGCGGGGACTACTGCGAGCGCCATAGGTTTGAGCTTCGCGATCTTCCTATTGGACGCAATAAAGGGTGGCCTGAGGAGCCTGATTTCGGTGGTCTCCAAGAGCGGCTGCTTGCCCTGCAAGGCACCTTACAGGAGGTCGTTAACTCTCCAGAGTTCAGTTACTTCTTCAAGCTGGCAAAGGAACGGGTGACGCATTGGAACGGCACCTCCCACCAGCTAGCATCTGTGCATGCTCAGATGCTCCATCCTAATCGGGCGAAGATTAGTACTGGATAGTACGTGTATTCTGGCTTTCGGAAATTCCCTGTTTTCTTACTTGATATACAGCTATGGCGAGGTCGGCACCACCATCTTCTTCCCTATCATCTCCTTGTTTTTCCCGAATCAACCCCATCTCCTGCATTGCAACCTCGGCCTCTCATATAATATCATTATCGATGAGGTTCTCATTCCGGAGGCCGTGTCTCGTATCATCCAGCAAGATCTCAACGTCAGCGATGTTCAAGCAAAGGTGACGATGGAAGCAAGCTATACCTTCGGTCGCATATTGCATCCCGACTCGGAGAATAAAGCGGTGGATGCGGTTATGCGGTATGTGACAGAGCAGCAGCAGTCCACTATATATCGCCTATGGCTTGCTTCGGGATCGACGCTCTACCTCCCTGCATGGGCGGCACGTGCCGCAACACTGGGTGCTCCGACAGTGATAAAGTCTGAGTCGGTGGAGATGACAGCTATACCGCGGGGAAGTTCTGACAGGAACGAGATTATAGACTTGACTCTGGACTCGGATGACGAAGAGTAGATTGTAATGACCTTTATGAAAGCGGCAATAAGAACAATTTGTAAATATGTTACAATAGTGCAGATCTAGGAATACTGTGGGGGTTGTGGCCACGCTGCCGGGAGAGCTCGACCATTGCCATATTTCGCCGCCGAATCATCTCATCTAGAAAGAAGTCGTACCTCTCTGCTGACATTTCCTGCACAATTGCCTGAAATCCGCCAAACCATGCATTCGTCTGCTCAGCGGCCGACGAGTTGAACCGCCAGCTCCCTTCCTTTGTGCGCAGCTGGGTGTATCGATATGGGTTGCAGTAACGACCACACTCAATGTCGGACTCTTTATGCTTGCACTTGAAGTGGAAAACGTCAACCGGGAGCGCACAGTTCTTGAAATAGTCGTCATCCTGGGAGCGGAGCATGGCAACGATTCGGCAATTGTTGTCGTGCCAGAGGACCTGCGGAAGGGACCGCTGCGTTGGGAACAGGCGTTTCCAGAACTTCTGTGCAGGTATATGAATACGTAGACAGGAAGCGGCGGATGTTATACCCGAACACCGTTGGGGGCTTCCGACCCATAGAACGTTGCACGCCCTACGATAACACCACAGGACATCACACATAGCTCCTCGTTGTGGGTACGACGCCGACCAAATCGGGCTTTTGGCTTCTGGTTCCCCACAGAGGGTTTGTCCGGACAGACACCATCCTCATCAATCTCGACATCCTCATCCTCGTCTGCACCTGTTCCTTCGATTCCATCGGCGATCATATCATCCCAGACCTTCTCGACGTCAAGCTGGAGATTGTATGGCCAGTCGGGAGGCAGAAAACGAGCTATAGCGTGGCCCTTGTTGCTTTCGTTATAAATTTTGGCGCAATTGGTGCCAGAGGTCCTAAAGCAGCCGATTAGGTACAGGCAGAGAAGTGAATATAAGAGAAACATACCATGCATTGACTTTCATGCTGGCAAACAGCTCTGCGACGTCCCGATGCATATAGAAGTGGCCGGATACTTGCATGAAGTCGATGGAGCTGCCGGGATAGTAGTGACGCCAGTTCTTGTCGACAAGGTAGTTGTGATAGTACCGTGTGTTACATTCTAGACGGTGTAATCAGTGCAAATAAACAAGATGATGTGGCCAGTACTCACGCGTACACTTGCGTGATGTTGCAAAGTCGGGAAGAGCGCCAAATTCCTTGGTAAAGACTGTGATTGGAACGCGGGAGGCCGAGGCTGATGACAAATCCCGAGAGCGGGATGCATTGGGGTCGGCATAAAGTCGTTTAGCGCAGGCCTCATCCTTGCAAGAACGGTGGGGTGAATCAAATGAATACAGTCCTTGTTCTGTGAGAAAAAAAAACCGACAGAGTGGGCACGAAACACACACCAATCTCCCGCGGGATACCATGGGTTAGGAAAACTGGCAGATACTTTGTTCGCAGTGCAAGCAGCTCGGTGTCGTCAAGCTCATATGCCCATGAACGCTCTCGGAGACTAGTCCATGCTTTCCGGCACTCGCTGTCGCTGAGGTCGAAAGCTGCCATGAAGAAGGTATGGTAGTTATCGGGAAGCGCCGCCAATGGTGTCATGATGTGTTCTGGTTGATACCAGCTCAGTGCTGGCTTGATCAGCCGTGCTAGCTCGATGAAGCGAACGATAGTTTCGTAGGGGAGTGAGTCGGACATGTATGGCAACAAAAGGAGGCAGAACGCGGCTCCATATATGCTCCCTCGGGCTCTAGCAGTCAGGTATTAGACAAAAAAAAAAAAGGTCAAAGCTCTATGACGCACAATAAGGCCACATGGCCATGTCGTGTTTGAGTGTGGCGGTGCGGAATAAAACAAGCGGTGCTCCAGGTACCGGGCCAAAGCACTACGGCAGGCCAAAACATGGACGACGAAGTAACGGCCGTTACCTAGTCGTGGACGCCCATGTAACGCACGTTACACTCTCTGATCGGGATCGGCGTGCATGATCCGACTGACCAAATCGGGACGTCCATGTCCAAGGTCCATGTCCATGGTCGCGTCCATGGACCTGGACAGGGCTAGTTTCGACGGTCTGGTCCGTCCACCATGCGAAGCCATGTGATCGAGTGAGGGAGGGAAATCCAAAAGCACTTGGTTGGAGTCAGGTCGCGGCGAGCCCATTTCTCCGCCACAGAAGTCAATCGTAGAGTGAGAGATTCGAGAAGCGAGCCGTCGAGATGACGATAGTCTGGAATATGTGAGGGTAGCAATGCCTCGTTGGCTTCGAGCGCCTTTATCCTTCGAATCCACAAAATTTTCGACCGCGTCATATCACATAAGAGCCGGGATGTCTAAGAATGAGGTTCTGTCAGGTTCTGTTGACACAAAGTGACTTGGCGCATACCTGTCGAAGGGAGAATATATCCTCTATATCCAGCTCTTCGCATATGCGGTGAATAATGGCGACGTGTAGCGCAGTGAAAGATGGCATGGAGATGGGGGTTCTAAACAGAGTCCTTGTTGGTCACGTGCTTATGCGTCGTTGTGGGTGACTCGGATGGTTTCAGAATCATCTTTAAGGTGCAGAGAGAAGAGATTGATTGCAAGGGCTGCGTTGGTGAGTTTGCTGCCGACAGCGTCGAAAGCGACGACTGACCAGCCGCTTCAATCAGAAAACACATCTTCTCGTTGGGCTGGAGTCGGATCCGGGGAAATTGGGGGTTGCGACATGACTGGCGAGCTCGCTTCAACGGGCTCGTTCGCGACGAACTGGCTTGTGTCTTTGAAGGAATGGTTTGAGTCTGCTCGAAATTAGGTGAGTGTGCCGCCCAAACCGCGGAAAGCGACGACTGACCTTCTTGTCAGTGTTGTATGTCATGTTCTAAGTGTAAGAGCTTGAGCTGGGTTGGACGGCACCAAGGCAGACAAGGCAGAAAACGCGAGCTGCACGACTCGGATATAGCCCCACTGGCGCGCTCGTTTTTGATACGACCGAAAAGTTGTCGTATGTTACGTTGAAAGAGTGGTAGAAGCATACAGAGCATCCAAACTCTCCGATACCGCCTCCAATTGGAACTTCTCAACGGTGGGTTTATCGAAAATTGGCGGCATCGTTACAAGATTTCGTCAAGTCTGATTGTGGCGCCACAGCGAGGGTGAGTAATGGACCAAAGAGAGCTGTGCGATAGCAGATCTGGGGCCAAGCTGCACCAAACGACTTAGTTATAAGCAAAGGGGGTGGGTGTTACTTTAAATTCGTCACATGGTTTTCTTTGAGTCGGAGTCTGGATTTGGAGCTATCTAGGTATCCAAGTCCCCGAACTCGGCATCGAACTCACTTCGACTAACTTGCCCTTTGCGCATTTTTTTCGCCATTCGCTCCTCACGCGCCATCTCCTCCCAATCATCCTCTTGGCCCACAGTGTCAGCATCCTCAGCATTTTTCTCTTTTGCTTCCTCAGTTTGCATCTTCAACCATTTGCGTTTCTTATCCTTCTTTTCTCGTCGCTTGTCCCTCTCCTCTTTTTTGACTACCTTGTCGCTCCATGCCGTATTGATTTTTTTCTTCTCCGCACGCTCAGATCGCTTTTTTTCACGGACAGACTCGGGAATGCTGGCAGCTGCTGCTCCTGCGGCTATGCGTTTCGCTTCTTGAGCTTTGTCAGCATACGAGAATACATTCCACTGTAAACACATCAGCGACTATCAAGAAACAAAACAAATAACCAACATCGAGAGATGCATCCTCCCATCCTTCTCGCGATAAATCTCGCATTTCCGGCATATTAGGAAGACGAAGCAGCCCGTAACTTTTAGCTACGCCAACGAGATCGAGGTCTTTGACGCGGAATATATAGGATGCTTCATGTTTTGAGTAGGCACGAACAAACGAGACAAAAGCTTTGGCAGCCTGTAGATTTGGAATATTAGGTGAAAATGTGGGGACTCAAAAAGGAAATCGCACCTGATCGTGTATTGCGCGGTCTGTCAAGAGCAGAGCACGGATTTGTGATAAAAACTCGGCGACCTGATCATCTTCATACTGCAGGGATGTACTATCATCCTCATTCGCGGTACTGGGAAGTTGTTGAGCGCGGGGTTGAATAAAGTAAGGTCGTTCAGTGATGGGAATCTTTCGGATGGCCAAGAAATCTGGCTCTTATATGAGTACAAACAAGTAAATCTAAGGAACAACGAACCCACGTAAGTCGTTTCCCGTCCAACGAGCAGTACCCATGCTCTACCACTCCTTCCAGCTCTGGCTGTCCTGCCACAACGATGGGAAAATGCCTTGGGGTCAGATGGTGGGTCAAACTGTATGATTGTGTCCAGTAGTGGGAGATCGAGACCTCGGGCAGCTACATCGGTCGCCAGGAGTATCGCTGGGTGTGTTGAGGTTGCAGGGGAGTCCGAAAACGAAGTTAAAGTGCGAGTACGGGCTGCGGGCTGCAGATGACCATGCAATGAAAACAAAGTAGTTCCTTGGGGAAGGAGTATTTGTAGAATCTAATTGATATAAGTAAGAGAAACTTTGCCAACGCAGATAGGCAAACCCGGTAGAAATAGTCTACACAAGCCCCGGTAGCGAAGTACACGATAAATCGAGAGGCTTTGTGTTCAGCAACCTCTGCTGCGATGATTTGCGTCAATTGCACGACTTTTTCCGAGGCCCGGCAAACAACGTAATGGATTTTCAGCCCGGCAGGTATCCTTCGCTCTTCTATTGTCGACCCGAGTTTCTTCGACTGGACTTTGACAACAATGCGGGAAGGGTTTCTTAATCCAACGCGAACAAGCTCGGACAGCGCGTCTGCATCTGTCATGGTTGCACTGAAGAGCCCAGTTCGTCGTTGTTTGGGTAGATGAGTGATAATCCGCGTCAGAGCCGCTTGAAAGCCAAGATCCAACAGCCTAATAACCTTGTTGTTTTAGAAGAAATCACAGTCAGAGCGAGCAATATACCGGTCTGCTTCATCAAGCACCAGTACTTCCAATTCTTTCACGCTAACCACAGCGTTCCCTTTTCCGAGCAAAAATTCCTCTACTCGGCCAGGAGTACCGATTACGATGTCGGCACCAGACTCAACAAAACGTTGCACATCTTGGGCGGGGGAGGAAGCGTCGGAGGAAATTAGGAGCAAGGGATCAGGGTATTCCAGCACTTGAGGTTCATCCTCGTCCTCGTCTTCATTTAGCGGTTGAGGTTGAGCAGATATGAACAACGAGAATATTGAATGAATTTGGGTCGCGAGCTCTCTATCGTCTAGTAAGCTACGCAATAATGCCGAGAAATTGAGAGATACCTCGTCGGGCTGATAATGAGTGCGCCAATCTCTTGTTTCCGCAGCTTTCGTTCTCGACGTATTAGGCGTTCAAGAACGGGAATTACAAATGCAAGGGTCTTTCCAGAGCCAGTCACCGCTTCTACGACGACATCTTTGTTTTGCATGAACAGAGGGATAGTTGACGCTTGCACTGGTGTCATTTGAGTGTGGCCCAAGGACTGGATTACATCGAAACTGTTCGCTTTAGCAAGATAACTAGACAAGCCAAATAATGACCTACATCCAGGGTGTCAATGTTGTTGGGAGTGAGGCCCACGAACCTCCGAACGCATTCACGTTGGACATGATGGAAATTTTGTCTTAGATAATCGATGTTACGTCCGTGACATGAAGATGATTGACTAAGCACAGACATTGTTGACGATGTCAACCGAAGTTACCGAATGGAGTCAATGGACGCAAGAGCCACCACCAGGCACACGCGCCTTCGAACTGTTGCATTCGTCAAATAATGTTCCACTTGACACAGAAATCCTACCACTTACTCGAGCCTCTGCTGAACTTCAACACGATATTAATCGCGTTGAAAAAGAAATTCTGGAGCTTGAAGCCCAATTAGCAGAGCGACGAAAGCACAAAGGAACGCTCATCTCCAAGCAATCGCGAATAAAAGGCGCGATTTCCCCCCTTCGCCGCTTCCCTTCCGAACTCCTCGCCGAAATATTTCAGCTACTGGCTCTTCCTGAATCTGCTGGACGAAACTTTGCCACTCTGTTCCGCAAATTTGACATGCGCTGGAGCCCTTGGTCACTCACGCATGTTTGCTCGCGTTGGAGAGCTATCGCGACAACGATGCCCAGTCTTTGGTCTAGTTTGATTGTCGTCTTTTCGGACGAGGACGACGCAATAACTTATCCTTTGCCTCTCCTACAAACCCATGTCAGGCGTGCGCGTGACCTTTTTGTTCACTTCTGTGGCTCTCAATCACTTCTGCGTGAGCCTCAAACCGCGGCATTCGATATAATCTCCGAACTCTCTGAAGATATTGTCGAACTATCGCTCACCCTTACAACAGCCCTGTTCCCTGAATTCAATCATCTAATCGGTCGTTTTCCTCGACTACGCCGTGTTCGCCTGGACTGGGATGACCCAGAGGTTGTGCACGATGATCATGTGCCCATTCTCTGTTTAGAAACAGCGCCATCCCTACGTGAAGTAACGATTGCAAACGAACATTGTTTCCTTCCGGCTCCACTTCCAACATCCGAACTGACTTGGTGTTGCTTGGATGCCCCCTGGGAAGTTCATCGGGGAATCCTTTCGTTGGCTAAAAACCTGCGTACAGTGTACATCCATGTCGCCTTTGACGATCACGTAAGCTGGCCAGAACAAACGGAACCTATTTTCTTGCAGGGACTTTGCCAGCTCTATGCGTCGCATCCTGAGGTCTTGGAATATCTACAACTTCCTGGTCTCGAGAAAGTCGCTTTCAGAGTCGAAGGTGACGAGTTGGAATTCATCGAGCAGCTTGTTCTTCTCGTCCATCGTTCCGGTTGTGTCTTGCGGAGTGTCCGCTTAGTGGGCAGCCCAACTATTCTTGCTCTCAAATTTCTTGAAAATATCAAATCCGTCAATGATTTGCGCATGCTTTTCAGCGAGGAACAGCCCGATTGGGATCAGATAACGAATATTATGCGGGGGTTGGCGCAAACTTCTCATCGGCTTCGATATTTGGGATTCATGGTCGAGGGTAAAAACCGGGTGGATGAGCTAGCGTTCATCACAATGGTGAAGTCGAGAATGGATTACGGACTCGAGATTGCAGAATGGTGGGCCGAAAATAAATCACGATCGGGCATATGGCCCACTATTCTCGCTGGTGTTGAGACGCTGTGTACTTTTGGCCAGGAGGGCCGACAAATGACCTTTAAATACGGTGAAGGGGAACTTATCGCTGATCTTTGGGACGAATGGCTGTTCTACCGTTAAAACATACTCATCGCTATGCTGTAATTTTGCCATTGGGAGTGCACTTTACATATTTGTAGCTTTTCTTGAATTCCATGAAGATGAGCTCGCTGACTAATACACTTTTGGTTGAACCAAACAAGCAAGGTCCAAGGAAGCCCAACCAGTGGTAACCACTTATTCCGAACAAGAGGATGCGGCAATGAATAACGCAGCGAAGTCCAGAACCATTTCAGTTAGCGCAGACTGTCATCAGGTGGCCCGTGTAGGTTACTCTGGTAGTACCCGACCTATAAAAGCGCGTAGTGTCAAGTGCATATCATCTTATTCCAAATGCTCCTTGAACCAACTCCCCCAACAGGAACCTGCCTTCCCCCTCAGACACCGCATACCCTATGCAACTCGTTGCCGCAATGGGAAGACAACGTCAGCTTGTCAATGGGCAAAATCGAGGCGTTTAAACTCATGAAGCACTCCGAAAGCAGCTATCACCGGTTCTCGATACACCCCCACGTTGAAGAAGTAATGCAACACGCTAGGACCCGGGAAGCTCTACCAAAGGGTGATTCAAAAAATTTCCAGATTTTGGCCTCAAAAACCCATTTTTTTGAGCCCCAAAAACCCATTTTTGAAGAAGGATCGTGACATGTCACTGTGTGACACTTGCTAAAAATGGTAATTTTTGCAGGTGTCAAAAAGTGTCTTGCGCCGCTTTTACCTTTGAACTAACACTCTTTGGGGTGATTTTCCTCTCAAAAGGCATCTGGTACTCGGTGGTGCACAGGCCAGTCTAAAACTTTCCTGCGAACCTCCCCAAGGCCTGAAAAACCCATATTTTGAAGAAGGTTTTCAGAATTTTTGTCTCAAAAACCCATTTTTTGGACAAGGAAATCGCGATTTTTGGGCCTCAAAAACCCAAATTTTTGAATCACCCTTTGGTGGAGCTTCCCGGGTCCTAACACGCTTGAATTTCCATTCCACCGTCTGAAAAGCCTTCCAGCTTTCGACTTTTATATTAAACGCACTGGGGACGGACAAAACTCAAAGTTGTTTCATTTTTCCGAGCGAGCTGTTGGCCAACGAGTTTCGCCTCTACCTAGAAACTATCGCTCCCGCATCTTTCTGTGTGGTGAGAGATGCAACTCAGATCGCAAATGTCCCAACCGGCCACTCTCTTTTCGCCGCGCTATTCACAGCGGAGTCAAAAGATGCTATGAAGTTCTACATATTTGCTGGATGTGGGATTTCTCCGCGTCTTGCGGAGATATGTGTGCAGCGGGCGAAAGGCAACTTTAGTCAGCCTCTCAGCCTTCCGCCATCCAATCACGACCATTGTTTTGGAGACTATTATGCCAAGCACACGCCTCTTTCTTCTCCAGGGGCAGCGAAGCACGCCCTGCGGACTCGATTCTCTGGAACATTTGGTGGCGTCAACATTCGAGGTGTTGCAGGGGTATCAGCGCAAGACGTATACCTGTACTCTTCTGGGATGCACGCTATTTGGCAGTCCTACAAGCTGCTCCAAAATGTCTTCGTTTCTCCAAAGAACAATGTCAAAGTTGCTCATGTCAAGTGCGTCACGGCTGCTCCCATCTTGACAAGTTTTATTCAACACTTGCAGTCTCCTGTATTGCGACACATATAAGTTTGTCGATCTTCCTGGCTCTCCTGGACACCACTTCTTCACCGATGAGACTATGGATGAATTGGAGGCCTTACTCAACACTGGGACACCCGCTCAGCCTGCGGTTCTCGCTATTTTCACCGATTTTCCCGGGAATCCCCACTTACAGAGCACCAATATTCTCAAACTTCATGTAGGACGACTACTCCAACGAATGGGTAGTCATTTTTGACCGGCTTCAGACCCTTGCCCGTCGTCACGGTGTTCCCCTTATAGTGGATGAAAGCGTGGGCGGACTTTTGAATGTTCAACTCTTGCCGCATTGCGATGTGATTGTGAGCAGCTTGACCAAACTCTTCAGTGGGTTTGCCAACGTTTTGGCTGGCGCGTATGATGCATCACCTTCCCTCAAAACCTTCCGTCTCATTCGCATATATCTTCCAGGATCTTGTTGAACCCTTCATCTTCATTTTATCCTCGATTCAAGAGCACTCTTGACGCAACTTATGAAGACACTTTCTTTGATCATGACGCACTCGTTCTTGAACTGAACTCGAGAGGCTATGTGCAGCGGACTGCGATTACCAATCGTCACGCTGAACAGCTGGGCGATATGTTGTATCCGCTCTCTCGAATCGGTGGGGCACGCGACTCTGTCCTGAAAGCGGTAAAACAGGCCAGCACTTGCACTCTCGCGCTGGCTGAACATGAGATAGGTTCATTACCCGAAGTATCGCGCACGCGAAAACTTCGACCAGGTGCGGAACCCTCTGGCAAGCGAAGCTGGGCTCGAAGAAACGGGCTATGGATCTCTTCTCTCTGTCACGTTTACTTCTCTCGATGCCGCCAAAGCATTCTACACATCGCTGCAGTGCTATAGAACCCCCACATTCGGCACTGTCTTCACATTAGCCACGGCCTGGTCAGCGCTCGCTTATCCTCCAGACAAAATGGAGTGGCTTGAACAGCGCGGCGTGGAGGAGTGTTTGGTAGGAGAATCCACATTGTTCCAACAAGACTGATCAGCTGCAGGTTCGTATCAGCGTTGGAATGGAGGGCATCAAGGCAATAATGGAGTGTGTTCGAGATGCGTTGCATGTAGCTCAAAGCAGTTGACTCTCTCAAGTATTCCGTTGACCACGTTACGGTTCAACGAAGTTTCGCGACTTGCACTTTGAGAATGAAACAACAATAATCATTTTTACTACGGGCTTGAGACTGCAAGGTGGTGGGCCGAAAGCCAAGCAAAATCGGCGTCGTGGCCAATTAAACCATGTTCGCTAGTATTGAGAATTTGTCCTGGTGTCCCAGAGGAAAACTCTTGGAAGCAAATCCCTGCTTTGACCCTACTCCCAAACGAAGCCTGACCCGGTCGACGACCATGAGCAGCAGCGAAGCGGAAAAGAGATTCGTCACCTCCTTCTGACACAGATGGCGAATCTAGTTGTCCGAGAAAAAGCGACAGAAACTCTCAAAAAGACTTTGAGAGCTGAGAGACAAAACGGTCCAATGGCTCCCGAAGTGATTCAGAGGCCTTTCACGTGAGCGGCGACGAACATTATAAACGACCATAGAGGCTCATATGGATCGAAGCCTTTGTTTCGCTGTCCTAGTTATTGGATTTTCGAGTAAAACAACAAAACACAGCGACTCTGCTTGAAACTAAGGAATCAGATGCACAATTGCTCAAGACATGTTGGATGCGTGGATTGTTTCCATGTTTGATTCTGGCAAGTTGTCTATTCATGCAGAGATGACTATGACAATGCATGATATACTCTGCTCACCACTATTGATTGCGCGGAGCCGATGGCCAAGGACCAGCTTTGCGCGCCTCTTCCTCCGCCGCCAGGATGAGTTCTCCGATCTCGCCCTCCTCTTCGGGTACCATCGGCCGAAAGTCGCGTTCAAGTAAAGACCCGAACTTGGCCAGTAACGGGGGAATTTCTGCATGAATATCGACTGCTTCCCCCTTTACGCCCTCCACAGACCCAGCGCTGACGTCCGCCAGCCCACACGCGACTACCTGGTCAAACCACGTGCGCGGCTCGTTGGTGATATTTATGGCAAACCCATGCGTTGTCAGCCGGTGTCGCACTTGGACGCCAATGCTCGCGATCTTGGTGTGTGCATCGAGAAATACGCCGGTATGCTCTGACTGCGCGTGTCTGATCCCGTGACGCTCGAGGAGATGCTGCTCCAGCCCGTGTTGCAGGCGGCAGACATAGTCGCGCACCGAAATAGGTGGCGATGACCGCGAAAGGTCGAGCAGCGGGTAGCCTACAATTTGGCCCGGGCCGTGATACGTCAGCTCTCCTCCACGTAAAGAGGCGATAAAGTCCGCCCCCATTCGCGTCAGCCTAACGCGGTCATCGTGTGTCGACTCCTCCGTTTGCCGCCGCCCAGAAGTATAGACCGGTCGGTGCTGGAGTAGCAGCAGAATGTCTTTGTGACACGAGAGTTTGCGCTGGAGTAGTTGTATCTGGTGAATCCGTTCCTGCAGCGCGAGCGTCGGCGCGTAGGGCAGCGGTGTGCGGAAGTAGTGGTACAGAGCAGGAATCATTGCGTAAGCAGGTCACGTTCAGTATTCTCCCAAAATGGAAGGTTTGATGATAGCCCCTATCCCGATTCAGACACTCTCACATCACCTCACAGTATGTATGCGCCATGGAACGCGTGGCTTGGCGACTCGCTCGTCTGTCATCAGCTTGTGCTGCTCCCAACCTCGAAATGAATCATTGTATTAAACCCAAATATCATACTGACAACGGGGAGTTGTTCTTTTGTGCTGCGAGCGGCTTATTAGCACTTGAGCATAAAAAAACACCAGAAACATACCCATCGTTATCTTATCGCCCAGCGAAAGCGCTATACCTTGCGTCTTGCTCCGAATCCGCACGTGACCCGTAATTGTACCTGCGGGTGTCCGCTCGATGCTCAAATTCGCCAATGCATCTTCCCCAAACAGACTCCGCGCGTACATGTTTGCAGACAAAAAGTCACAGTCGCCAGAGGTAGCACCTTCCGGCGTCAAACACGACATGTTGGTTGCTTTCATAACGTGTTTGAGGTATTCTCGCGGATCTGACATCGGGTTGTCGACGTTGACGCGGTTCTCCCACTCGAACTCAGTCCACATGCTCCGGAACTGGGCCAGTCAGCAAAAAAGCTCACATTTTAGCATAAAAATGCACCTGTGCTTCGTTGCAGTACGCGGGCTTGATGTAGTCCATGATGTCGATATGAATGTCGTTCAGGATCACACAGGCCTCCGACATGTTGGCGCCCTCCCAGAGAATCGACCCAAAAATGACACCCGTCTCCGTTGACGAGACCTTGATCGTCGCTTTGATGCTTTGGAAACCGTGTGGCCCTAGCGTGTACACCGACGGCCTTTCCACAATCTTGAGATCACCCAAGGTAGCAAAATCGAGACAGAGATTCTGCATCGTGTTCGGGGTTTGGTTGACTAGCAGAACATCAAGCATGATGTCAAAGCCATGCATTTTGACGTAGGCCTCTGCATATATCGGGTCAGAGAAACCTAGAAATGGTTCGATCAGTCTGACACATCACCGAACTCAATTTCTTTTACCAGTGAGTTGAGATATCCGACTGAGGTTGGACATGAAATCTTCGTGAGCCTCGCCAGCGGTTGCCCGTCCCACATCCTCCGTGAACTACAATCTCTCCTCAGCATTAGGTGACGAGAACACAATCAACACTTACATCAATCGCCTCATCCACAGCTTTCTTGGTGAACTGTCGGAAGCTCAACAGGTCGTCTACCTGCACCACAGTAGCCTTGGACGACTCAGACTCCTTCTTCTCTGCAGCTCGTTTCTACCAGAACCAATCAGTTGGAAATTCGGAGCATCAGATGAGTAACCACACACACCTCTTGAGCACCAAGCATCCGCGAAAACGCAGTCTTGGTGTCCTGCAAGAATATTTCTTGAACAGCAGGCTCGGCCTCTAGCTCGCTAAGAGTTTTGATGCAGTTCATAATCCTCTCGCTCGAATCTTCGTCGATGTGAACAGTGACGAATTTGGATTGCCCAACGCGGATGATGGAGGTCATGATCAGCATGCACTAACGACTTTCAGTAAGAGATTTGGCAGCGAAGAAAGACCTTAACCTCGGCGCGGAGGGCATTGCTGGCCGACTGATCGTTTGCGTGCTGGTCAAATCGTAGAACAAGCTTGGTGAGAGCCGCAGATAAAACAGCACCAGTGAAGAAGTCGCCGCCCAGCAGTAGTGCTGTGCCACGTAAATAGATACCCGCATGGTTGACAGGACTTCACTCACTTCTCAGAGGTGGTTTTGACGCAGCACGGACAGCTTCAAGCTTGGTCACTGAGTACGCGGTCTCCGATGCATATGTTCCATCTGCAAGGACCTTTGGCTTGCTACTTGTTTCCACTTTTGGACTGCTGGCCTCTTCCTCCTCCTCGCCAGCACCAGCATCGTCTAGCAGTTTCTGTTCCGATGCCAAAATCGGAATCTCTCCCAAAACTTTGCGCGTTTCTTGCATGAAGGATTGAATATCGGGAACCGTTTCGATGTACTCTCCCAGAATCCACAAGACTCCACGAAAGACTTTCCCGGACTTGATGTCATGCAATTTGTCGGTGAGCCTTGTGGTGACAGCGGATCGCAAGTGGGGGAACTTCTCGACCACCTCCCTGAGACACAAATTGAGAGTCGAAATTGATGATAAAAACGGAGCTTACCGAACAAAGGCGACAACATCCAGCGCAGAAGGATTATTGGAGTCGCCAAGGAAGTCCATAAGCGCATGAACAACATTGGCCGCAACTTCGGAAAACTTGATAGCAGTAATGTGGATCGACTGGATCAGCAATTGTCTGTATTCTGGTGCCTGTAGGCCTTGTTAGATTTACAGCTCACGATAGGTTGGCAACATGAACCTTCTCGAACTCGGACTCTTGGGTCTTCTGTAGCTGCTTCTTGAGGAACAGTACAACATCCTCCACATTCCGACTTGTGGTCATACTCAGAATAATGCTCATGGCCTTGCGACGAACATCAATGTCGGCACTATTAAGTGTGAGTAAAATCAAAGAAATGGAGCCAACGAGGCTTACCTGGAAAGAATTTGAAGCACATCCATGATGAGGCCGTCGATAATATGACCCTGTCGCGTCCGCAGAGTTTCAAGTCGATCCAAGACGATTATTTTGACATTATTATCGGATTCTCTAATGACGAGATTGATGAGACAAGAGGCAGCAGCTAGATATATTCAGAGCAAGTTTGACACAAACAAACCAACGATATACCTTTAACGGCGGTGGCGTTTTGGGTCAGCGTGGTCAACGTCGTGGCAGCTTCGTATTTGACAGCATTGGAGTTGACATTGAGCAATTCGAATATGCAACGAATGTAACGAGGCTGTTCAATATGGTCGGTACTTGGTCTTGTTGAGAGTCAAGTTAATGCTTACCCGATGTGACGGGTCCGCTTTGCAGTCTAATCGGATAACTTCTATAATGCTCATCTGCAAAGCCTCTTCTAAAGAGGGTATTGTCTCGTAGATGCTCATAATGTACTGCACAGCTTTTGGCATGGAGCAGTGGGCAAGGAAAACGAAGGCATTCCGTTTGCACGACGCATCTGACTCGGCAGCCAAAAAAGTGGACATGAGTTCTGGCGCGTCAGGGATTAGATGCTCGAATTCGCGATAGATAGCATAGACGGCAAAGACAGCATTCTTGCGGACATAGCCATGGCGATGCTCGAGGCAAGAGCGGCAAGTTGGGACGAGAGGTTCAAGCAGTTCGGCGTCTTTGGCAATCTTTTGGAGAAATCGGAGAGTAGCACCGCGTATCCACTCGTTAGGATGTTGCTGCCCGACGATGAGCCCAATGCCAATACGAAATCAAACACGCACCAGGTCATTTCGGATGGCATTTCTGTGTACTTGAATCAGGCTGGGTATGAAAGCCATCGGCCAAAAACACGCACACCACGAGAATCATCTCCTGTTTGAGCTTCCCATTGTCGTCGTACTTCGGGCACACCTCCCAGTAAAAATGCAATAGCTTCTTGAGTTGCTTGTTTCGTGAAGGTAGCACGTATTGAATAATGGGCATCATGAGGGTGGGCTGCAAACGGCGGTGAGATTAAGTGTTGTTTGTGGGGTTCTACGCGCACTTGGGCATTTCCGTTTATCGTGGAGGTGATGATTTTGCGTAACGTTTCAATCTTGACGTCGTCAGAGCCCTTCTCCAAGGCCTGGCGCAACTCGGACGCGGAGGGATACTCGACAGTCGAGTCTTGGACGACGGTGTAGCAAGCAGCCTCAGGCGAAGCCATTGCGCTCTCGTGGGATTATCCTCAGGAAGAAAAGGAAGACAGCGAGCGAGAATTGGCGTCGTCGAAAGACGTGTCTTGAAGGCGGTCACACAATGTCACACAACTTTCTACAACTTTTTCTACAACAAGCTTGACAACCTTTGCTTTACGACGCATTGACTAAACCGAGTGCCTCTGGCAGTGTTTGGTCGCATGGACCAAGGAACAAAAAGTCCGCATACTTATCACCTGAGCTTCTCTCCAGATTGAAGACTGCCACTTTTCCATGTTCTTGTACCAATCCTGCGTACATCGCGGCAGGATAGACGGTGGAGGAGGTGCCAATGACAAGGCAGAGATCCGCGGCTTCGACAAGCTCGTCGTTTCTATCTAACCCAACCGGCTGCTCGCCAAACCAAACGACGCCTGGCCTGGCGAGGGCGTTGCATTTCTTGCACCTGGGCAGATTGGATTTCGGGATTTCTGCGTCGACAGCTCCCTTCTCGAACAGCTCTTCTGTCCCTCCAAGGGCGGGGCAAATAGGCGACGCCTCGTCATATTCCATATGACCACAAAATTCGGATGTGCATTGGACATCGAATAACCTGCCATGCATTTCAAGCAGAGGTCCGTTTTGAGCAGCGTCTGCTTCCTTGTTGGACTCCTGATGTTCTTTCCAGACTTGGTTCATCGCCCTGACGCTTAGTCCGTCAACATTCTGCGTAATAATCGCGAAGGTCGAGTCGGGGGTAGTTTTGGATCGGATAGAGGGAATACAGAACTTGGCGAGGGCATTATGGGCTTCATTTGGCGTTGCTTGTCGCGCTCTAGCTGAAACATGAGCATCTTCCTGCGGTTCGTGATATTTTCTTACTTCTCTCTCCGATAATGGTAGAATTGCCATACGAGCGACGGATTCTTATGGAAAGCCTCTGGAGTGGCTAATTTCGTTGCCTTGTACTTCCTCCACATTCCTCCAGCCCCTCGAAATGTCGGTATGCCTGGCAAACATTGATAAGAATCTACTTAGATAGACAAAACCCACCAGAAGCCGCAGAAAGACCTGCTCCACAAACAGCAATGATATTTTTCGAATTTCTCAACACGCGTTTGAATTCTGCCATGTCGGTCGATGGTGGGGGCAAAGAATCGGAGCCTGAGTCTGAATCCTCAGAGTCAGAGGACATGGCGGTTCCTGTCAACAACAGTTTCAACCCGATTACATATGACACTGTGGCTGGGCGCCGTTAAGCGCTGCCTTTGAATGACTACCCTACATCCATCTCTGACTCAGAAGGTTGCAAAGCAGCAAAACGTTGTTCGATGACGCGATTCAGCGAAGACTGGCCCTCTCAGTGGAGATCGAAGTTGCGACAGGTTCACTTACCATCCGTTCCGCTCCCACAAATATAGCAAATTTGGCCACTCGCTCGTCCGGAGTCAGCTCCAGAAACTCCTCAAGACCGATTTGACATAATATGAGAAGTGAAGCAAACAGATTCATCCCGTCGGCAGCTGCGAGGTCGCTTTCACCCTAAAAAGAGACAGTCGTATACGCAGAACCGAGCAAAGCATTGCGCACCTCAGGTATATCATCATTGAACCAGGCTCTATCGCCCCAAACCGCCCCTTCAGACGCATCATTCGCCTCTAAGTAATCTCCTAAATACCGCACAAACATGGCTGAGTCGTTCACAGTGTCAGCAAATGCATGCTGAACAATGCAGTCTTGTCGCAGGTGCCCCGACCCTTCCATGATGTCTATATCACGCCGGAACCTACGCAGGGCTTTGATAACTGGTGGAGTGTAGGCTGACAGCTCGGATTGGCGACTGGTGCTCTCCTTCGTCCGATAGCTGTAAGTATCTGGATACGCATTGAAGATAACGAACAGGCGAGAGTAGCGCCATGACTCTTGTGCGATTCGCTTCACTAGGTCAACACACTCCGAAGGAAGAGTCAGAAGATTGGAGAAAATGATGGCACTGTGTGGGTCAAGGATTATATCGACGCCAGACATCGATTCTCGCTCAACCAAATCAACACAACAAGAACGCAACGTTCGGACAAGAGCTTGACGTTGAAGGATTTCCATGGACACCAGATACTTGTGCCGAGAGGAGGGTGCATTCCATATCGAAGGGAGAGACACTGTGTTTCGGTCATGCAGCTCTTCTGGCAGAGTATTAACGTTGGCAGGCGCTTCGGCAGTTGTGATATCTGGTGGTGCTGCTGGTGCTTGTGGTGGAAGTGACTCAGAAACCCGCTTTGCGCGTAGCTTGGCAAACTCGAAGATTCCTAGAGAGTGTGTGACGATATCGGGAAGTGAAGGTTGCGACACTGCTGCCGTGTCGTTGATAATAGCTCCGCGATGTGGCTCGAACATAGCCGCATAAGTTTCGTCTGAATGTGCGTCGTGTATCAATTGGCTGGGCTGAGCGGAGTCAAAAGAGAGCGCTAGAAATTCGTTCTTGTCATGATAGTACGGATAGGTTTGGTACGCGACATGTTCATCTTCTGTCGGCTCAGAAATGGGCTGATAAAATGATTGCTGGACGTTCATTGCCATTTCAACTGGAGGTGTTTGAAAATCCGGCTCCACGAAATCGAACGCGATACCCGAATCGTCAAAATTATCTTGACTTGACTTGCGTTTGGTCGTCGATTCATCAGTCAAGTCATCAGAAATTATTTCCTTATGCGAGACATTGATGGCTCCGGGTCTGCGCCTGGATAATGCAATCTCACAACGACCAGCATCAAGATCCAGAAATGGCAGCGTCCCTTCAAAGCAATGCTTGCTGTATCGAGAGCTCCAGACATCTTCGTCAGTCGTTTCCGCAGGGCAGACGGTAAGTAGCAGGGCTTGCACGGGCGAAGCGAACATATCATCATGAAAGGAATTTTCGACTTGAAGTATGTCTGGAAGAGTTGCTATCGGAGTTCTTGCGGGAATAGGACTAGGTGATCACATAAGGCTTCAAGTTCGTCAACCCACATTCGTGAAACGCACTCCCAAGAGAGTTCGACGGTGGATGATAAAAGCCCTTTGGTTCGCTTCAAGAATTGATGCACGTGATTGGGCGATTGCTGAACTTGCTCCTTCGGCGTCGTCAACAGTTGAGAGAGGTGTGATGGAAGGAACAATGAGTTGGGGCCGTGGTGGCTCGGCGGCGGGAGAAGCGGGACTTGATGACTGTGAGATCAAAAACCTTGGAAAAGTGATACCAACCCTCCATAAGCAGCTGTTGCTTCTCGTCCACCCTCTCTTTCATTATCCAATCTCTAATATCTTGACGCTCTCCGTACAATGCATTGATATCCGCGTCAAGCACATCTTTTGTTGTCGCAGCGTTGGTCGAGCCTGCATTCCCAATAATCGACTCGGATTCATCCGGGGGACGAAACAGAACTGGAAAGTCGGCATGCATCCTTACGTGGGGGGCAAGGAAGGAGCCTAGGCTATTTTCTTGAGCGATATTCGCTAATCGACACTTTACATATCACCCACTGTGAACCTTGTCCAATCAGGTCTGGCTTTTTCCTTTGCCCACCAATGCGCTTGCTGCGGGGTATTTCTACAACATCTAAAGACAGAGTATGCATATTAGTTCATATGCGCCTCAAGATGACCCTCACCCATTTTTGTTGGACGATATGGAGGCGGGAGTAGTGTCAGGAGACGACCAAAGCTCGTCAACGAGATCTTCCTGACTGGAACGTGGCGAAGGACTGGGGGACGCAGACGATCGTATGGCATCTGTGACTCGATAAACAGTTGGTTGGGAAACGAGCGACAAAATGCACTCCATCCATTGACGATGATCATGTTTTGCGTACAAAAGTCAGGCTCGACTTCTTCAAGCTTGACTGGAGGAAGAATCATAGCCGATAGGTCTTTGAGACTGCCAAGGCCCAATGGTGGCGGATCGCCTTCCCTGACACCACTACCAACTCTTCGCCTCCGGGGGAAAATGGGGATAAATTCAGGTTCATAGTCCCTCGTTCGCAGAGGCGGAGATTCTGGACGGGAGGAAAAGTCCAGATGACGGTTTTTGTACTTCTTCATGGGTACCATTACACCAAGCAAAGCGGCGCGTACGTCTTCTCGTTGGTCTTGCCGAAGCTTCCAAACCACATCTCTGGGAGGATTTCGTACCGTCGTGTTGGTATGAAAGAACGAACGCACAACACATCATCCCGCTTAACGAGCTCTTCTACCACTGGTTCGACGACAACAGGTTGGATTGCTTGAGAGTGTAGAAATTGATTGTGTGAGTTGGGAAGTGATTTAGAAAATAGTTTCGCGCCTGGTCGAGGAGTTTCGCGTCGTGCACGGGCAGATAACACGGGGAGAAATTGTTCATAAAGAGGTAAACGAGTCTCAGCTAACGAAGTTGAGTCAAGGGCCCAAAGGATTATAAAAAGCGTACAGGTATTCTCCTCTGAAACAGCCCTAGCAGAGGGTGGCTTCCCGGAGCTTGCGGACAACACGCTTTTGACGTACTTGATAGCATCTGGTGTCGACTGAAACTTTTCTTGGGACGGAATGAGGGAAGGAAATGCGTGGATTCTGAGAAGAGTGTCGAAAGGGTCAGGAGGTATTGTTAGCGAATTAGGATCAACGAGGGGTATCTGCTCATATCGGCAAAGCTGAGAAAGGCATTGAGCAAGACTCGGAGACGCGCAACAACTCAGCAACACACCTCTGAATTTGCCTGCTCGGTAAATTGGATATAATCGGCTGTTATGTGGGCGAGAACATAGTCGAGGAGAAGGCCCCGGATATGAGCGGAGAGATCAATGGATTGAGGTTGGGACATGAAGAAACGCGCGAACAAGTAAGCACGGTCACGTGGCTGATTCAGATGATCATGACTTGGATATTCGTCCAGCTTATGTCTGAGACGAGGTCATGATTCTATCTACAAGTATCTATGCATTACTACTGCAATGTTTGAAGCCGTAAACTCCTCCAGAATCTGAACAATATAATTCAATCATGCAGTGTTGTGATCCAAAGGACTTACTCGCATCGGTCCAACAGTGCTTGATCCACTTGATCCGCTACAATCTTCGGCCGAGGGACCGTGAAATCTGTTTTGTTGAAGAGCATTTCATGCCTTGCCGTTGTCCACTTCGGCCATACCGGGGCGATATTTGGCGAGAGCTTCACGTTCGGATCCAAGTGGACTGCAGCACTAAGGAAACCGCCGACAAATGCATTTATGAAGTCACTGCTGTTGAAACGTGGTGTGGGGGTGCCGAAGCCATGGAAGGAAGGGAAATAGTAGCTGATATCATCACCGTGCAGGGCTGGCGGGACGGCAAATTGACCCTTGTAGGATTTTCCGGAGAAGGCCGGGAGTGCATAATAGGTAGGGCAGACGAAAGTGACTAAGGAGTGTCATCAGCGGCGGAAAAAGAAACAACTGAATGTGCATACATTCAGTCATGATTGCATAGACTTGCTCCAGAGAAGATCCAAGAGAACCGTATGCCCTGGCCACCGATTCGCTCTGATTGGGCGAAAGTGCAGGAAGTAGGTTGCGCGTATATCCTGCAACGTCGTACTCTACAGCTGAGCTGACAAAGATGATGCCTTCATTGGTGTTTGTCATGGACAATAAGATATCCTTGTTTGGTTGAGAATTATATGCATCTAGACGTTTTAGACTTACGCCATTTACTTTCCCTTCTTGAAGTTGAATGAGAGGGTTTTTGACGATGAAACTACCATCAACGACGGGCAGGAAAGGTGGAGATCCCTGGAAACTAGCGACTGAAATATTGTAATTGATGCTTTGCAATGTCTCGCCGTTCAAGGCACGCAGACAATTGAGGGCTGTAGAATTTGAGCATCTGTCAAAGGTTATCAGAGACTGTACCACTGTATGCTCCAAGCCGATGGCGGTTACCCAGCTAGTTCAGAAACTTGGTGAAAGATGGTCTGGAAGGAGGATGCTAAGAAGTTGAAACATTTCTGATAGCATTTGAACCTTACCTGAGGCACCCAATGGTCGAAGGCATATTGCGGAGGCACATAGGTGGAACTGGTGATGGCGGCACGGAATAAGCTGGGCTGGGTATTGCCATAATGTGCCAAAGCATGCTGAAGCACGGAGCCCGCACCGGCGCCTGTGAAACTCTTCATCGATAAAAACACATAGGTTGGGCCAAAGCTTACTCTGACCCCAAATTGTGACCTGACTTTGATCACCACTAAGTATCCGAATTCAATCAGAGTTGTGGTGAGAATTTGTTGGGTTTAATACAAACCCAAATTTATGGATCTTTGTTACGAAAACATCAGTTGGTTCAGTTGGTATAGAATAAAATATGAACATACATTCCTGTTGACCCAACGCAATGCCAGGTCTTGGTCCACTGAATACCGTTAGTATCGCGAGAAATTGATGAATAACCATGGAAGGCTCACATAGTCCAGCATTTGCAACACCGTACTTGTGCACTTGCTTTCCCGCTAAGAAACCTCCACAAGAAGTCAATCGCCGACGGGAAAGTTGTCAAGCAACAATTTACCGAATAACCCTAAGCGGTACTGAATGACGACTACGACAACGTTCCTATTCGATTGGAGGACCAGTTCAGCGCCATTATAGTCGGAAGCAGCTCCAATCGCGTATCCTAAGGCATGAATGATGAGCATTGAAATATCAGTTTGTGCGTGCTGACCTCCTCCGTGAATCCACAAAACTACTGGAAGAAGCGTTTTGGGGGTCAACGTCGGTGAATAGACACTGGACAGCACAACTGAGACGAATATGAACGAATTGATTTTGCCAACCTTAAGAAGAGACAATCCTCGGAATCGACGATTTCACGAGAAGCAAGGATTGGGTTTGAAGTGAGATTGGTGCCTAGTGCACCTTGATAACATCGTGGAGGCTGCGATATCGCGGCTTGGATTCCCACCACGGGAGTTGGCAGCACAGGAGCCTGCCAACGGAGTTGGCCTGGCAAGTATTGAATCAGTAGCGAACGACTAGCTAGGAAGGAACCACCTGTTGGCGGGGCAGCATAGCGAATGCCAACGAAGCTAGTTATGTTTTGAGAATCGATTGACCCAAAGTACGTTGCATAGCCTAAATTGACCAATGGACCTGGCGAGGTCGCAGAAGCAACCACAAGAAGGGAGAAGAATACGAGCGGAATCTGCATTGTCCTTCAAGATGTCGACGTCCTGAGCATTATAAGCATATCCAGTCTATTGATATAATATATGCCAGTGACTCATGCGACGACTATGGGTGTCGCAGTCGTCTTCGCTCGCCGCCGTTTTAACCGTTTAACCGTAAACGTTGGATGATGGTAGAGCCCGAATTGTCCCGAGATGTCGAAGCTTCGTCAACGGTTGGCCATTGGTCAGCAGTTATAGGATGGGTTGAATTGGAATAGGAAGCTCGATATAGTCGCCGCAAAGAACTGAAGACTCGAGACGCAATACTATTATAGTGAGACCCTCATTTCCGATTTGAAAGAACTACCCACGTGTGCAAATCTCAAGTTTTCTATTCGACTTGATCGCATTGTGTGGGTGCCTTTTCTCATAACACACTCCATTCACCCGGATAGATAATTTGCTCTCGCCATTCCGTTTTGCCTTCTCCTCTGATCAAGGAAATCTCCATATCCGCTCGTTTATCCCAATTGTGGTAGCCTATTCGTTGGAGAGCAGGGCAGCGAGCAGCCAATCGCTCAAGCTTTCCTTCATAGAGAACTCGAGGCCAAATGGAGGACTCCGATATACTCTCAAGTTCGGAAAATCTCGAGAGCGCGTCGATGTAGTGATCCTGAAATACTGTCAGAGGCGTTAGGTGCAAAAGGCATTGAACAAGTTACCAGATTGAAGCCATTGTCGGCATCTTCGACTGTACTGATACCCAATCGTGGAATCGCCAGATCACGAATATTAGGTATGATAGCGGACAACCGATGGAGTGTTTCCAGCCCTCGGAATTTCCAGATTCCAAGTACTCTAAGTCGACTTGTATCAAGCAAGTCGAGGAATTGCAGAGTCGTATCGTCCAGTGTCAGTTGTGCGATGTGTTCCAATGTACGGGGAACCTGGAAATCTGACAGAACAGATTGCGCGAATTCTGCAGTTGCTACAAGTTTTTTGAGGGACGGCAGAGAAGCTGGTATTAGCCGTAGATTGGCGTCAGCGGGAAACCACGTCAAGCTTTCGATTGTTGGATGCCTCGAGACAAATTCTGCAGCAGACCGTTCCCCGGCCATGCCAAATGTCGTGAAGGAACTGAGCTCCAGGTGACGAAGATCGGGGAGTTGAGTTGACTCATATATTTCAGGATCCATTGGCGAATGTAGGACGAGAGTCTAACAAGGTGATTAATACTTTGTTCTTGCTCTAAACTACAACTTGCCTCGAGAGACGGGGAGTTCCGCAATAAAGCCTTGAGACCATCGGGCCACCATTTATACTGACGCAATGAAAGAGAACGAAGATGTTTGATATGCCAAAGCTGGAAGAGAATCAATTTTGTTTTTTCACTTGATAGCATTAGCAAAGTTACTGGGTAGTCTTCGGAGCCGCTGGGAAAAGGCAAGTCCGTGGCGGAAGGAACCCTGCCATCCAGTATCTCCAATGAGTCAAGGAACTGGACTTGAGTGAGGGCTTGAAATACGCGTTCTTGATAATCAGGGAAGGTCTCGTATAGGCCCATCGTGCTCCATGGCTCACACCACGTAAAGTGACGTAGACTCTCCATATTTTTCAGAGCCTGGCACATGTCCGAAATTACCCCCTCTGCAGTTCGAGAGGCTAGGTTGATGTCGATTGAGTCAGGATATCGCTCGGGTTTGAGACGAGCTCGATAGTGAGGAGACACGTCCACTTCCCTGAGCACAAGCTGACGGATATTTTTCGCCAAATCCCGACGCTGAGCAAGATGGGCCCATATTTCCGGCCGCGTGTTGAACATTCGAATAGTCCGATATTCAGAGTGCATTGGTACCACGCGCTTGTGCCAGTAGCTTGAGGTTGCTGCGAGCGAAATCAAGTCATTGTGGGAGTCAATATGGCACAAAATGAGTTCGGATACATCGAAGGAAAGATTGGTGAGGGAAAGAGCCATAGTTGCCGCTAGAAAGCGATTCAATTCACGTGTAAGCGTGACGAGCGTGACGGCGTTTTTTCATTCAGAGAATGTGAGTTCCCCGTATCCTGCTGGTTCATGATGAAACGCACTGGGCTCTGAGACCATGCTGCTGTAATGCACTACACTCTATGGAGTGGCGGCCTAGAAAACCGTTAACTGATATTTACCGTTTTTATCCCGACCTTTCCCTTTTCACGAAGCTAATAACCATATTAGAAAGCATGGATGAACCAGGTGTGCAGATCGATGCGGCTGGCTTTTGCTCTGTCGTGAATGACATGACTTCCAGTATTGCGTCTGTTCGCAGTGTCATCAACGGTCTACGCCAGCAGGACAACCTGAACATGACGGATGGAATTTCTCTACTGTCCGTCAAACACCATCTTCTACTGTCCTACCTACAGTCTCTCCTGCTTGTCTCATCTCACTGTGCGATTGGCCATACTCTCACCGAAAGAGCGCCACCAGCAGAACCCTTCAGCCACCCAGATCGCTCCCAACGCGGCACCGATACTGGTGATTTGGTAGACTCGATGGTCGAAACCCGAGTAGTACTTGAAAGAGTAAAAACACTCGAGAGTCGACTTCGCTATCAAATCGAAAAACTTGTACGGACTGCTCAGGAACCAGAGAAGACAGCTTCCGCTGTCGCTGAGGGTAGGTTTCTTTCAGTCTCTACGCTCATGTCTCACGCGGCCTCAGATCCCCTTGCTTTTCGACCCAACCCACAAAATCTGGTTGAGAATGACGGCAATGATTCAGATACATCAGTCAAAGATGATCCTGCCCACAACGTCGACGATGGAATCTATCGACCTCCCCGGCTTGCGCCTGTTCCCTATACTGGAGGGGCCAAATCCAAGTCACGAGATCGGCGCGCTCCTGTACCCACCGCGTTACGAAGTCTTCAAGACCCATGGCTTCCTCATATGGAGACTACCACTGGATTAGGAACAACCCCATCGTTGCTTTCGGGTCGTGCCAATTACTTGAAGCGGCTCGAAGCCTATGAAGAAGAGAATTTCGGACGAGTGGTGTTGGGTAAAAACAAGGATCGCCAACGCCGACGAGACGAAGAGGACTTGGCCCTCGGTGCCGAATTGGGCGGGGCAAGGGGTGTCGGGAAAAACCGACGTCGTGGTGGCTTGGAAGACGAGTTTGGAGATGTATTGCGCAGTGTCGAGCGTGGTACCCGTGTTTCACAGATGGGGGATGGCTACGACGAATTGCGGAAGAGTGGGCGCAAAAAGAATGCTTTTGAACGCGCCAAAGTCAACGTTCGAGCAAGAGAGGATGGCGATGATGATGAGGAACCAGACAGAATGCGCAAGAAAACCCGTTTCGAGCAGGATCGTAGAAAGCTCCAACGACGCACGAAAAAGAAATAGATTAATTTGTCGTTGGAATGTTGTGAAGTTGAGATTCTCTCCATAATGCGACTGCCGCTATTGCTGCCCCTGGTCCTACCACAAAGCTGGATACAATATTCCAAAGCAAAATACGAAACCTCTGGGTAGTCGTCTTGCCAAAAGAGATGGTAGCCAGCAAGGTGCTAACGAAAGCAAGCCCCATGTCCCATTGCAGGAGGTCCAACTAAAAGGGTCGTGTTAGCCAGGTAAATCACTTGTGCAATCAGTTCATACCACTTGTAAATTCGGGGCAGCGCCAATTCGTGGTGCAAACGAAGGGACAAACATCGCTTTGAGATTGTTGTCTCCGAAAACGAAAGCTAGATGTGTCGACGACGCAAGCATGAAGGTGGCTGCGTAGAGTACTTGGATCCAGGTAAAACCGGATTCTTGGGGCACAGGACGACGGAGGAGCAGATGAAATGACTGCGCCATATACTGCCAAACCGGAAACAGCTGCCACAACGCGGTGACTGTCGCGTCTTGCAGCACGAGAAGACACGCGGAAGGTACGGCTACACCGATAATTAGGCCGAACACGATGGCTTGCGCATGGCCCGCGGAAATCATAGAAATTCCCGCTTGAGGCTCCCGTCTGTGAGCCCCGGTGAAGATGAATACGAGCCAGTAGATGGGAAGAACTGCAGCAACAGTGAAGAGCTGCATGCAAAGTCCATAGATCACTGGAAGTGCAAGAGAAGAGTGACGTCCAGGTCTCGCGGCCTCGAAAGCCGGAATAGCGAGCAACGCGAATGCAGTGCCGAAGAAATACTCCAAGAGCGGACGGACCTCTGGAGTGAAGGCAAGATGAAAAAAGGCAACAAAGTTGCAAAAGGTAGAGTCGACTGCAGATATATGTGTGTATGGTATTCGGTATGGTGTGAGTTCAGCTGAGAGAAACATTGCTGGACACTGCTTTTGCACAATAGGACCAAGACCGGCCAAAAAGGCGTTTCCTGCCGTCTGTTTCAATGCTAGCGCGCTGAGAAGCGGAAAAACGACGAATGCCAAAGACATGGACTTTTGAGAGCTAGGGGCACCACACGTCACATCACATGCTTCTTCGTCACACATTTCAACTCCTCCACCGACTGCTCTCAACCATGCCAAAGGCCCCGCAACCCAAGACAACAGTCAGCAAAATTGCAGACAAGCATAATGCTGATACAATTGCTTCCGAGAACGACAAGCAAGAGGGGTCTTCGTACGAGTCATCCCTCATTTTGGTGGCCCAGCCCTTATACGGACCAGAAAGACCATGCTAGCAGCAAATGACATCACATTCGAATTTCTCGAGCGCGACACTATGGGAGCGACGTGGTACGAAGCTTTGCGTGGTGAATTTACCAAATCCTACTTCATCAAGGTTCGCCGCCTTTTGGTGCACCATTTCCCCGTTATTGACATGGTACAGCTCAAAGCTTTTATTGCAGAGGAGCGGAAGTCAAATACCATATACCCTTCTGGTTCGTCGTCATCCAAACTTACCGATATCATCTAAGTCAATAGTGGACAATATCTACTCATGGTCGCGCCTCACGCCGCTGGATACTGTGAAGGTAGTAATTCTGGGACAAGATCCCTACCACGACGTCGGCCAGGCCCATGGCCTCTCCTTCTCCGTCCTTCCTCCAACAAAGCTCCCGGGGTCGCTCAGGAATATCTACAAGGAAATCAAAACAGAATACCCCTCATTCGTGCCACCCACTTCCGGGTGAGCACAATCATCCAGTCTCGCGTCTTCTTGACTTGTGCTCAGTGATTTGACACCACTAGCCGAAGCCGGTGTTCTTTGGCTCAACGCCAGCCTGACTGTTCGAGCACACAAGGCAGGCTCCCATTCCAAGAAAGGCTGGGAACAGTTTACCAAGCAAGCACTGCAATGTGTTGCGAATGGCCAGCGCGGGGTAGTCTTCATGGCTTGGGGCTTACCCGCACAGAAAACTATCGATCTTATTGGCGTAGACGAGGTACGCAGCTTGTGCTTCACTTCTACCCCGTTTTATGACCAAGTTGCAGAGTCGACATTTAGTCTTACGCTCGGCACATCCTTCTCCTCTGTCCGCTCATCGGGGGTTCTTGGGGAATGGACATTTCCAGAGTGCTAACGAATGGCTACAAGAGAAGCATGGCCAAGCAGGCACCATTGATTGGGAAATGTTATCCGCAGCGCGCAAGTCCAAGTCGAAATAGTTACTGCCTTGTTTTTGTTTACGGAGCCGTGAAAGGTAATTTGGACTGATATATCTCGGAATGATACAAGTCCGCCGGACTCTAGAGGAAGCAACTTCGTTCAACCACTAAAGTGAACAGGAACATTTCTACAGCCAAAACAGAAAAAAATTATAATCGGAAAATGCTTAACCAGAATACATAGTGGTGCCCCAAGGCGAAGACCCAAATGGAGCCTCAACGATGGCCTGAGGCCACGCCGCATCATTGAAAGCAGGCTGTTCAAAGCCAGCGGGGACGGTCGTCGAGTACTTCCAGTCCGCGTCGGTCCCAAACAAGGCACTCGAGTTGCAGCCGCACGTGGAGTCAATGCTGGTGACCTGGACCGATGCGAGCAACCCAGCCGGGTTATTCGTCGCGCCACCGTTTGTGACCTGGACTGCAAACACCACACTTGCCGCAGGCTGCAGCGCAACAGTGTAGGTCTGGGCGTTGGCGAACGAAGTACCGCTTCCCACGACATCGCCGTTGATCCAGAGGGTATAAGAGTCGTCCCCGACAATGACAATCTTGACCGATGTTGGAGTGGCTCCAGTTTGCGGAGTGTAAGTGCGCCGGAATGCTCGTGTGCCCAGGGGGGCGACTCCACCGGAGACCTCATTGGTCCAGACCCAGAAAGAATGAACAAGAGACAGGACTGGAGGCGATTTGGGAGTTTCGATTTGGCCCCAGGGAGCAGCCCCATATGTGGCTTGGGACAGAGCCGGAGTCCACGCGTTGTCATCGAAAGAAAGCTGCTCGTATCCGGAGGTGACAGTGAGGGAGTAGCGCCAGGTGGTGTCCGAAATGAGGGTACTCGTTGAACCATCGCTATAGGTGACCTCGATGGCAGCCAAAAGGCCCGCAGATCCCCCCGTATTCACCGCGGTTACGGCAAAAACATTGAGGCACGGCTGAAGGGCCACGCAAAACTGTTCCGCGTAGGGCACTCTATCAGCAAAACCGATCTCTGCGCCATTCACGAACAGAGTAAACGCATCGTCAACGTCCATGAGAATGTTGGCAGTGACGGGGGTCTTTCCCAAAGGCGGGGTGAATGTCTTGCGGAAAGCCCGACTGCCAGTGGGGACCGTTGCGCCAGGAGAAGTGACTTCATTTGTCCAGATCCACTGACTTTTGCCAAAGTCTAAAGCGTTGACGATGGTGACGGCGGCAAGAACGATGCAAGTGACTTTAAAATCTATGAAAGGGAGTAAGCGACATCACAATGTTTATAAGTTATGCCGACACTTACTCATGGCAAGCAAAGAGCTGGATTGCTGAAGAATACAATTTCAGAGCCTCTGTTTTATAGGGGGGGGTTGATTAGGCGCCGTTGTCATACGAAGTTAGCGCTAGGTTGGGACATTCAGTATGATGAGCATATGGTTTCGAATCAAAGATACAGCTGTTTGGTCGGGGCCTCACTATGGCTTGATTCATCCTTTTCCCTTGACTTTACACGAGAGATTTCAAAGCTTGTTGTGTAAGTACCAGTGCTAATATCTGCTGAAAGGCTGCTGAGTTAGACCTCCAGCCATGGCTACGTGGCACGTTTATCGAAGCAAAGGCGCGCTTAACGTGAGGCGTTGAATGCTCAAAGCGCATTGGTTCAAGAATAGCAAGTAGGGGTAATCAGTCCAAAGCTACAGGCTGCAGGAAAGGTGAACATCTTCGCAGAAAGCTGTTTGCCAGTGTGCGTCAACATGGTCGTTCAAGAAGAATTTAACCGTCACATATCCGGTCACACTTTGCTTCTTCAACCGCAAAAACTGAAACTGAAACGGCTGAATGCCATATTCCGCCCGCAACATACTCCAAAGACAGTCTGGCTACTTATAAACATCAATGGGCCCTCTTCATCTCAAATCATGTCTTCCTCATTTGATGTCAAGTACTGCTCTCTTTGCGACGCCTACTTCTACAGCCAGGAAATGCTCCAAGCCCATATATCAAGCTCTCGCCGGCATCCCAAGTGCTTAGCATGCAATAAAAGCTTTCTAAACAACAACTCGCTCCGTAACGTGGGGCGGTTCTTCGTCTCGCCAACAGTGCTTATTCCGACAGCAGCATTTTGTTCTCTCTCCCAAGCATCACTACTGTCGCATCTGCCAGAAACATTTCAAGGCCGCCTCCGGGTTGCGCATCGTGGGTCGCTCTTCTGTTTGTCAAGAATCCACTCAACGCCGTTCCCAGCATCTCGATTTCGCGCATGACGAGAGCGATGAGGAGGATGACCTGCGACCCGAGGGATGGGAGGACGAACAAGCATACGAGGAAGACCTCGCGCTTAGTGGGAACGAAATACCCATCCCTGAAGAAGAACTCAATGCACTATCCATTGGACGAAGTAATCTGGTTGAATGGCCAGACCCGACCATCGGAGCCCTGCGACTGCGGTGTCCTATTTGCCTTTCGCATCGCAGTGATATGTCGGCGACCCGCTGTGGCCATATCTTTTGCTCTGCGTCAGTTTTATCTCCATTTTCAATCAAGCACAACCTCATGAACAAGTCAGCTGCATTACTCACGTTCTCGAAGACACAAAATGGTGTCCCTCTTGTCGTCAACCTGCGATCACAGCTCAGTTGCGCGCTCTGTCTTTGACGAATCAATAAATATAGACGGTATTTGCTACATGGTGACTGCTGGAGTCTATGGTGCTAGTAGTATCACAAATGGTGGTGGTAGTTGCTACAGTGTATACGTCAGAGTTGAAAACTCTGAAAGTGTGGTAGTGCGATGAACGAAATTGATGAATGCCGAAGAAACCCGAAGATTAGAAAGTGCCGAGGCGGTAGAAGAAAGATGCAATGCGAATGGCGTCCAGTCATGTCGATGTCGTGGAAATGAAGCGCTATTCAGGCCTCAAGCAGGAAGTCCCAGTCATGCGAGGTCTCAGGAGCTTTGCGAGAGCACCCAAACAGCCGCTTGAAAGTCTCCTTTTGCACACACTCTGGCGCATTGGTGTTGACATCCCACATGCGGAAGGTAACATTGCCGCGTGTTGCGACGACGACTTCGTCCTCGTCATAGACGGCGTTGTCGTTCAGACGAACGTTTGCCATGATGCGGTTGACGAAACCGTCTGAGAATTTGACCGATTTAGCTGACTTTTGGCCTTGGATAACGCCTTTGAAATCGGAAGGTAGCCAGATTGTGACATCTGATGTCGAGGCGCGTACTTGCAGCTCAAATTTGGAGCGGTAAACACTGCGACACTGGGGATGAGTGTTTAACAACGCGTCATTAGAAGAAACGGAAGTAGACATACAACTTTGAGCTTGATTGGCGCGGAGTCGTTGGCAATGTACATGCTGATGCGATGCTCGATAGGTTGGTTGCGAGCGCGGAAGTGGGGCAGAACGAGGGAAAGGTCGATGGGTTTGTGGGCGATGTCAACATAAAAGTCCCAGTCTTCGTTGGCGAGGTATTTCACTCGATGCGTGCCGGTAGGCAGGTCAATGAGGCCTTGCTTTTCGTAAAACATCTAAGAGCTATGAGCTTTATGCTCCCCACGGGGGTAAGAGAGCGCACCAAAGAGTGTTCGGAGGCAGACATTAGTGGGAGGGAAGATAGGCTGGCGTCGAGATTCGGAAGAATTTATATCGACCGTTGTTCTGGCCATCACGAAGGCTGTACTCCCGAATTGGCAACTCTTGTAGTGTGGTATTGTTCTTCCTTCTTCCCGCTCGTTATTGTTATTCATCCATATCCAGGTATTCTTATAGTCGTTCTGACTGTTGAACACGCTCCCCGACCCCTCCAAAGGAACATGGAGAGTCCTTAAACCTGAACAAGTCCCGACTCCTGATGACGAAAGCGTATGATCCGCCTCGCGTGGCAGTAACGTGGCTTTGTAACAACCCGATCGTTGCTTGTTGTTGGACCCAATCGGGAGATCGTCGACCTCCAGGCTCCAGCGACCAGCGTTGAATATTCACCAGCAATTGCCTCCTCATACCAGTTCAATTCGCGCGTTGCCAACCTCGTGATAACGCCGTTGCCGTGCTATGAATAACTCCGCCCATTCATGAGCTCCAGCCGAGCCGTACAAGGGCCGACAACACATCTCCATCTAGGTCGTGCCGCCATATTGGATCCCAAATATTCGCCAGATGACCTTCCATATCATCCATTCCATATCCAGGCAGCCCAAACGACTCGCAAATTACCCCCGACCGAAGACTCTCTGACAACACCATATTGGCTCGTGGCTGCCTCACAGCATCATAAGCTTTGAGAACATCCTGATAGGAAAGGTGTTAATGTCTTGTTCCCGCGATGGTCAATATCTTGCCTCGAGGTTCGAAATATTGGTGGCTGGATGACCAAGCAGCTGACAGAGAACATAGACATCCTCAAAGCCTTGTCCGGCTCCCGATCCTAATTCGGCTCGCTTCATCACTAGACCCGAAACAGTACAAAACACGAACCTAGGTGGGGAACCATCCCGTGTGCCTAACAGGTCCGATTTAAAATGAGGTCTGGACTCCAAACGAAGCTCATACCGCGTCACCAATTAGCGCGACCTTGCCCTTGACGAAAGTTTCAAGAGGTGCGAGAGTATGGATGTACCATTTGTTCGGAGTCTTGAGCTGCTTTAAGATGATCATAACGTCTGGTCCCCATCCTTCGTACCGGTCTAGTAGTTCTTGTTGCGAGGCAGGCTGGACCCATGGCCCATTAACCTCCACAGAACCAACCGGTACTGAGTTGTCGGTAGCAAAAGCCACGACATTAATCTGCGGCATCAATAACGCGATAGCGAGGTTGTAACGGAAAGCAACACACAATCTGCCCGGAACGGATTGGGAACGAAATGATATGCTATAAATATCAAGATTGAGATTGAGGAAGGTCGAACACAGAAAAGGATTGTGCCTACTTTGTCGATACCAACAAAGTTGAGAACGCGCTTACTCATGTCGGTCTTGATTCCCTCGTCAATCAGCGTTTGCAAAGGTACCAAACCGCGATAGGCACTCGTGTTGGTGAATTTCAGAACCTTCTTATCGCCCACAACAGCAGCGCGAGTTGTGCTCCGAATCCCATCTGCCCCAATGACCAGGTCTGCTTCGTGGGTTGAACCATCAGCAAAGTGGATCGAATAAGCTGCAGACGAGGCGGAGATGGAAGTGCATCGTTTATTGAAATGTGTAACTTTTGGATCGGGGAGCAGAGGTAAAACTGCTGAAAGGAATGCTGGTCGGAATATCCCAATACCTCGGTCAGCGTCTGTGAAAGTCGACTTGGAAAGTCAAAATTAGGGTGATAAATCATTGCTAATGCGCACGCATGTCTCGTAATCATAGACTTGTTCATGGTCGCCGATACCGGAAATATAGAGCATTCTGCGGGCTGCCTTTTGGGCTTCATCGGTGTTGGCGAGGACAGCATCAAGAAGACCGAGTCCTTCCAGTGCTCTCAGCGCGTTAGGACCTAGTTTTTGGTTCAAACAAGCCCAATGTAACGAGAAAGTGACTAACCTAGTCCCACCCCAGCTCCTACTTCATCGAATTTAGGTGCTGCTTCAAAGATGTCGCAATGTATGCCAAATCTAGCCAGACCGACTGCACATGCCAGACCAGTCATACCGCCTCCAACGATGGCCACACGAAAGTCCTTGTTGCTCTTCTCCGTGGTGTAGACGGAAGCCATGGTTGAGGATCAAGATTGAGCCGCGACGAAATCGCACGATACACTGCCGCCCCCGGCATCGCCAGAGATCTGACCAAAGCGCATTCTGAATTTCTGTGGGCGTCGAGAAAAAGTGGCAACTGAAACGCGTCGGCAAGACGTGTTTTGCACGTGAGCTTCATGTGACGTATCAGGTCAGATTCTGAAAATGATGTTGGCCAAAATTTGTCCGGATTTTTTGGACATCGGCCTGGACCTCTCATTCCGGATTTGGATCAGACATACCGAAAATTTTGTCCAGATTCTGCTTCAACCTCAATTTTTTCCCCCAACACACTAAAAGTAGATATTGATAAAAAAATCCAGTAAATCAAGTAAATATAGCACCTTTCTACTCTGCTGAATAATTTCAGCCTAATTGTTGGTTGTCACAGGTATACTAAAAGCTAAGTAGTGAATGACCTTAATCTTATTTCATATCTGACTTTTGTCCAGATTTGCGCTCAGACCTGGTCTTATCCGGATTATAGATCAAAGATGTCTGATTTTGGCTCAAATTCTGTGAGAGCAGACTAAACAGGCCCAACAGTGGAAAAGGTGTGAATTCGGTTGCGTCTGTTGTTCTGACTAAGGATCTCCAGACATGGCACTCGGCCAATGGCGTTATGGATGAGCATATTTGTTTATATGTATTTACATGTGTTTGTATATGTTGAAAAATGGCAGATGTCTGTAATTTAGCACATTTTGATTAGAGAGATTTCCTAAAGAAGCAAATAACGACGGTGGGGGACCTTGCCAAAGCAAGGTGACAGAATGAAGTTCAGAGTTTATGCTTATGGGTGACCGAAAGTGGGACTGAGTGCTTATCTAAAAGCACAGCTCTGGACCAGTTTTTGATAATCAATCTGTCACGGTTCGGGTCGGGCTGCCGGGCCACAAGGCCGCACGGGCCCGCATACCGTCATACTCCTCGACGCTCCCTCATTCTTCCAGCCCCTTCCCTTCACCCCTGGGGCCCTACGCAGCGCCCATCCGATCCGCCCTGGGACCTGGCTGTCAGGGGAACCTCCCTTTCGGCCCGGAGACGCGCCCGACTCCGGTCCGACTCCGGTTCCGACTCCGGTCCGGCCCTCCATCTCGCCCGCACAATCACCGATCCATCAACGCCCTCCCGACGGTCGCCCTGGGACCTCGCCTGCGACGCCGCCCAAGCCTTCTGTGCCCGACAGCGGCAGCTACGGACAAGCAGTATATAGTCAGCTACCTAGCAGGCGGACCCTTAGAGTTTCTTCTCTTTGGATCCTCCCCTGCTAGGTCAGCTTCATTTGTATTTGCTTACCAATGTTCACGCCTTTGGATCCTCCCCTGCTAGGACCTTGATCTCAGGCCTCCGGGGTTGCCCTTACATTGGCGCCCATCTGATCCATCCCTAATACCATGGTGTATAAAAACCGTACTTACAAGATGTAGTCGCTAGGCTAATATCGTCTATTCTCCGGGCGAACACCCATCTTTCGTGCTCCTCAGACCCTCTCGAAGTCGGACCCCCCTGTCAGGGGAACCCCTGATGCCGTCACTTGATCCCATCAAGCGCCGCGTCTCCGCTCGCGTCTCCGCTCGTGTCTCCGCGTCTCCGCACCCTAACGCTCTCCCTCCCTCCACTGCCTGCACCACATCCCACATCCAGTGATCCCGAGTCTTCGACTTCCCTGGCCACTCCCCTCCGGAAGTCCATCCGGAATCACCATCATGGATCACTAACGCCATCGGAGACCTCTCCGGATGTGGATGCACCACTTCCCTCCGAGACCTTGAGCTTATGGCCTTCTAGCCTCTCTGGGCTGTTACTTATCAAGGTCTCCCTACCATCTCTATCCGCTGGACCTCTTGGGTGTCCCCAACCTATGTCAGCATTCGGGCTTACGTTCGGATGGCTGAGCTTTGCCATGGCTCCGCTCTCTACTCCGCCACCACGGCCCCCGTCATCGGGTCTTCCCCTGGGTGAGGCCTATTGCCGTTAAGGCTCGTGCCTACTGCAGCGCCCCAGGCTGCACGCCCTCACACCTCCACCTCTCTGGAGACGTCCGGGGACGTCTCCGAGTGACCCCTGTCGCTACCCTCCAGTGGTCATGGCTGGCCGCCATTCCCATTGGTCCTCTTCGACACTCCCCGGCCCTTGGGCTAGACCAGACTCCTTCCCTTTCCGCTCCACGCCTTCCCTCTCCGTTTCCAGCCGTCACATCACGGTCACACACCCGGAGTCGATTCCGATTCCGATTCCGATTCCGATTCCGGTTGTCACGTCACGGTCACAAGCGGAGACGCCCAGAGGCAGCCTGGACCTCCCGAAGCCCTTCTTGGGCCTTCTAGGGATGCCTGGGCCCCTCCCTTGGCATCACGGTCCCAAACCTGCCTCTCCGGAGCTTCGAGGGCTACTCGACACTCACCTAGGGTCCATTAGCGACACCTGACTTCTCCAACCCGTCATCCGTCGCTACGCAGTCACTCTATCATTACTCCGGTCACTAGTATATAGTAGTGCACCTGGGCAGAGGGCTCCTTGGCTTGTTCTCTAAGGATTCCCCCTCTGCTCAGGACTCTGATTTCGAGCCTCGCGAGGTTGCCCTTACACGACGATTCATCAAGGACTTCGGCGCGTACGCCAAGCCACTGACTCGACTGACCCGAAAGGACAGCCCATGGAAATGGGGACCGGAAGAGGAGGAGGCCTTTCAGACCTTGATAGACCGGGTCACTGACGAACCCGTTCTACACTTCCCTACGGATCACGGGGCATGGCGGGTCGAAGCGGACTCTTCCGACTTCGCTACCGGGGCCGTTCTCTCGCAAGAGCAAGAAGGGAAGTGGGTACCGATCGCATTCCTCTCCCGGGCCATGAATGACACCGAGCGCAACTACGACATTCACGACAAAGAAATGCTCGCTATCATGCGGGCCCTCACCGAGTGGCGACACTATCTCCAGAACGGGGGAGATAAGCCGTTCGAAATCTGGACCGACCACAAGAACCTGGAGTACTTCATGACTGCTAAAAAACTGAACCGGCGGCAGGCACGATGGTCACTCGAACTGAGCGAGTATCACTTCTCCTTGCTGCATAAGCCGGGGAAAACGAACGGGCAGGCTGACGCGTTATCCCGGACGAAACGGGTACGACAACGGGAAAGAGGATAACCAGGATATTGTCCTACTACCGGCGGGGCTATTCAAGGAACACGCGATCCGCGCTATGCTCACACTGGAGCATACGGAGGGCGATGGGCTGATGGACTCGATCCGACGGGCTGAATCGGCCACAGAGGAAAAGGTCCTCAAACTCTGGGAAGAAGGAGAACCGGAAGGCTGGGAACAGCATGACGGCTTCAAGACTAGGAACGGACTCGTATACGTACCCTCAGCCATGGGATTGAGGCATCGGGTGCTACGCCAACACTGTAAGGGCAACCCCGGAGGCCTGAGATCAAGGTCCTAGCAGGGGAGGATCCAAAGCGTGAACATTGGTAAGCGAATACAAATGAAGCTGACCTAGCAGGGGAGGATCCAAAGAGAAGAAACTCTAAGGGTCCGCCTGCTAGGTAGCTGACTATATACTGCTTGTCCGTAGCTGCCGCTGTCGGGCACAGAAGGCTTGGGCGGCGTCGCAGGCGAGGTCCCAGGGCGACCGTCGGGAGGGCGTTGACGGATCGGTGATTGTGCGGGCGAGATGGAGGGCCGGACCGGAGACGGAACCGAGTCGGACCGGAATCGGAGGCGTCTCAAGGGGCCGAAAGGGAGGTTCCCCTGACATCACCCCCCTTTGAATGCGGCGTCCCGACGCATAGACCGGAACGGAATCGAGTCGAAGGTCGCGGAGGCGATGTGTCGTGGCTTGCCAGGGTACTTACGATAGAACTCCGCAATTTTCTCCGGGGCGAAGACGCGGTCGAAGCGGACCCATTGGTTGTGCGATGCGTCGTAGCCTTTCCATCTGACGAAGTAGTTCAGCCGTTTATACCTCACCCTTGCGTCCAGGATTTCCTCTACTTCCCACTCCGGGACTCCGTCCTCGAGGTCCGGAGGGGGCTGGTCGTAGCCGGGGCGTCCGTCGAAGGGGTCGTCCTGAGCGAGCTCGAGCGCTTGACGACGGGGAAGACCGGGTGGAGCTTCGAGTAGCGGGAGGGAGGTCGAGCTTGTAGGCACCTTTGCTGATCTCCGCGACTATCTTGAACGGTCCAAGGCGGCGATGGGAGAACTTTTCCGAGGGGCGAGTCGTCCTGATGTCAGAGGCATCCAGCCAAACACGGTCGCCAACCTTAAACTCCGGAGACGGAGTCCGTCTCCGGTCGTAGTAGCGCTTGTACTCCTCTTTGGCCTTAGTGAGCGCGGCCTTGGCTTCAGCAACACCAGTGGTGATCCGGTCGCGGAACTCGTTCACTGACTCCATGGCGGAACGGACTCCGGGTTCGAAGCCCATGCGCGGGAGCCGTCCCGTGTCCGTCATGAAGGGGACCTGCTGCGTGGAGGGGAGTGAACGTGGTTGTTGTAGGCGAACTCCGCGGCCGGAATCAGCTCATCCCAGTCGTCCTGCTAGTAGTTGGTGAAGATCCGCAAGTACTGCTCCAGCTCCTGGTTGACGCGCTCTGTCTGACCGTCTGTCTGCGGGTGGTACGCGGTGGACGTGGCGGGCTTGATGCCGATTAGACGCCAAAGTTCTCGGGTGAAGTCCGCGATGAACTGCGAGCCGCGGTCGGAGACGTACTTCTCCGGAGTCCCATGGTGCCGCCAGACATTCCGGTAGTAGAGGCGGGCTGCCCCTACTGCATCGACCGTCGTATGACACTCTGAGAAGTGGGCTCGCTTCCCGAGGGTGTCCACGACGACCATGATTGCGTCGTACCCATGGGCCTCGGGGAGCTTGACGATGAAGTCGACGGAGACGGTATGCCAGCGTTCCGGGGGCGTTTCCGTGGGGTGCAGTTCTCCGTGGGGCAGTCTCCGGAGTGCCTTGGTGCGACAGC